TATATAATATATATATAATATATATATAATATATATATATATATATATATATATATATATATATATATATATATATATAATATATATATATATATATATATATATATATATATAAGAAGTCAAAGCATTTCAAGAACGACCATTATATAGGAGTTGCCTGTATAATTCAATAATTCACTATCATTACACATTACTTTACAAATGTAAAAGTTATTGGATAACAAGTGTATATAAGTGTATTTAAGTAGTTCATTTTTATTGAATTTTATCACAACACTGCACTTTATTATTGCTTTAAAAATAGTAATAAAAAAAATATCATGGTATTCAAGTGGAATTTTTAAAAGTTGAACCATGTTTAGTTTTTGCTCACAAAATAAAAAAAAAGTTTTCTTTATCTCTGTCTTTTGGCTAATTAAACAGTCAAAATTTTAAGACTATACATAAACATAATTCAAAATATTTAATCTCTTTATCCTATAAAAGCAGAGCTCAATTTCAGCAGTTTGATGCACCGACTTGACCTTGTGATTGTCAGAAAACATTTTAATGGCTGACATGTTTTTTTAAATAAAATCAGTAGCAGCACAATTCTAAAAAAAATTAAAGTAATGTATAATGTAAAATAATATCACAAAGAAATCTAATATAAATAATAAACAACATGTTTTTCTTAAAAGTCCATAACAGAGTGTATAGCACAAATATATTCTTATTTGTTCAACTTGAGTAAGATAAAAAAAAAATTCTTTCCCATTAAAAAACCAAAACAGGTTAAACATAATTAGTAAAAAAAAATTCTCAACTTATTGCCTTCATAAGTATAACAAAAACTTGGGTCACACAAATAGTTTTCAGAAATTCACAAATCCATTAAAAAAATTAAAATGGGTGCTTGTTTAAACATCAATTAAAAAAACCCAATGTTTGTGCTATCATCAGCCATTTAAAAATATGATTTGGTAATCATATATTAATTCAGAAGCAGTTGTAACATGAATATATAGGTGCTGGGTAAAACATTTAAAATAATGGAAAATTAATTATATTATAATTCAAAAAGAAATATGAAATATTAGATTTAATGAAAACAAATAAATACAACAGTAATTTTTTCACCAGCTAGAAAACAAAAATATTCAGATAAATATTGAGCAAGATGGCTGAGTGAAAGTTTTGTATGCCATGCGTGTGCTGAAAGGAATTCATCGCACCAAATCTTAAGCTGAGAAACACAAAAATCACAAAGAATTATTTTATCACCGTTTATAATGAAGCTTATACCTCAAACAACAAGGGTGTCATTCAACAATTAGTTTAGTTTAGCTAGATTTAATTATTACACTTTGAAAAACTTTGAGCTCTTCAATAAAAAAAACATTATATAGTTATTTGCATTCCTGTTTGACACATGGGACAGAAGCAAGTAAATCAAATCCTAGATTTACTAACTAGAAAGCTGCTGTGAAAAATGAAACCCTTAACAAGTGAAACCTATTAATATCTTTCAAGTCAGTAAATTATTAGCAAACGTTATAATAAATCTTTTAGTAAACTAGTTATACATGTAAAAATAACCATTACTTTATTCTAACTATACTGAATGATTAGAACATTAAAAACTTTGAGCGATTGAGTAATGTGATTGAATAAAATAAATTAAATTGAGCACAAAAAAAAAATGTAATACATAAGTGAGGTAAATAAAATAATTGCATAAAACCAATTTAAAGTTTTAAGTATAGGTATTTTAAAATAATAAAAAAGAGTAAAGGCATCAAAACAAATACCTTTGTAAAAAAAAACAAAAAATTTACCCTTAGTTTTAAGGCATGAAACGAAGTATGAGATCTATTTGACATAAAACAAGAGTATTTGTAAAAAGTATATCTTTCTTAAGTAAATAAGTTACCAAAAGACAGATGATATTTTGGCTCAAGTTTTTATCAAAACTGCAGCTTTAAAAATATGAGTTAAAGCTTTTTTTGTTTGAGAAGAAAATTAATGCCACTTACACTATATTTTTAAGCATAGCACTTGTCAAAAGAGTTTTTTTTTAAATGTAGGCCTGTTGGTTTCATTTAGTCGTAAGCTCAATGCATATTTGATACTTACATTTGGCTTATCTGTGACTGAGTAAAAAAGTAAAGTTTCCCTTTCAAACCTGATGGTCTATGGGGCAAGTGAAGTAGAGTTCACTTGTTTCTGTGACCTTGGCATATGGAGAGAAAGTGTGGTCATCACTATGCCCAGCCGCCTTTACTTTCCCTAACATGAGTTAGGTACCCAACAGAGTTGGGTGGACTCAGGGACGGTCTACTGACTTGAACCCAGATTCGAACTTGAGACTTACAGGTTAGCAGTCCAGCTCTCTACCGCTAGACCACTCCATCCCACTGTGACTGAGTAATGACCATCAAATATTTGTAAAATGAAAGTTGTATATTTGTAAAATAAAAGTTGTATATTTGTAAAATAAAAGTTGTATATTTGGCTCAACTCAGGCTGCCTGTTGAGAAGAACAATGTGGTAACATAATCTTCACATTGAATTGATAAAAGCCAATTTGATTATGCCTGGAATCTCGGTCACAAAAGTTTGACTTAATGTGCTAATAAAAATATAGGTAGAAAACAATCAATGTACTGACAAATTAAAATAACGAAGGTGACAAAATTGTGCCAGTTTGAAAAAAATGTTGGATAATTATGCCAAGAATTATTTTTTACAAAAAAATATTTCATTATTTGTATAACCGTAGCAATGGTTTCATTTTTTTAAAAGTCAATAAAAAAAATATAACATTAACAATTGTTTGTTAAAAAATATTTTGACATTTGATAAAAAAGTACTTTTTTCTTTAGCAGAGGACACAATTTTGATATTTTTCTATAATTGTAATTTTTTTTTTTACTTTTTAGAAAATCATTCATATGGTGAAAAATTTGAGCATAAAATAAAAATCCTAAAACTGTTTTTTTTTAAAAAAAAAGCTTACAAGTTACTTAAAACCAAACTGATACAATAAAGTGTATGGGTTTATATAGTGAGCTTTCTCTGTGTAACTCGTGAGTTACATTTTCTTAGACTGTTATTGTAGCATACATGGTCTACTTCCTTTGTTCTGTAGCAAGTGAGACATTCCCTTAGACTGTTACTGTAGTATACAAGCTCTACTTCCCTTGTTTTTTTTACTCACTGAAGAGCTGGATCTGTCGGTGGCAGCACCAGAATCTGCGCTGCTCTTGACAGAGGTGCTGGAGGAAGATCTGTCTGATGGGCTGGTTAGGAGTGTGGCCAGGTTTCTCACAGATTCCTGGCGTTTTGTCTCATGCGCTGGTTTGGTCTTTTGAGCTTGGTCATACTCAGATATTTGTTCTTTGTTCTTTACATCAAGTGCTTGAAAATAAATAATTTGAATAATGTGTTTTTTTTTTTACATAAAAAAATAAATAAATATCAAAATACTGACAAAATATAAGACAGAAAGACTCTTGATTATATTATAAGTGTATATCTTGTTTTGTTTAATAGGTCTACCAAGTATAAACAATTTTTAATGACGAAGAGAAAAATGTTTATCATTATCTCTTTTATTACAGCTTTGTTTTTACATTAGAGTTCTGTCTCTTTTTGCTGTAGATATTATTTGCATTTACAAATCCAATTTAAAATTACTATTTATGTTTTAGGAGGTCTTAAAAGTCACAAATGAATTTTAAATAAATAATTTAGAGTCATTTTTATAAGATACTTTTAAAAAATGTATTAATTTTAATGCAATCTTTGAAAAAATACATTCAACTATGATACAATAGGACAGGGGTCTCCAAACTTTTCAGTCCGAGGGCCGCATTAACTATCAAATTTCAGTTGGGGGGCCAGTTTCTTCCCGGCATGTCTTTGATTTTTCTGGGCAGAGTTCATCATAAACGATTTTTCCTTGGACAAAAAAATCTCCTCGGGCCGGATCAGATGACTTCGCGGGCCGCATCCGGCCCGCAGGCCGTAGTTTGGAGACCCCTGCAATAGGATGACATGAACTGACCTGGGAGTACAATGTTAGCTGCAGGACTTTTGGCTTTCTTCCTTTGTTTGTAGATGTCAGAACGTTCCAGGTTGTCTCTCAGCTTGACGTCCTCCTCATAGATGACCCGCCCCACCTCATTACGGGACGTCGTCTCAGTACTCAGCCTGGTGATGCGTGGGCCTGAGGCATGTTGCTCACACAGCCAGTAGATTTTACCAGTGGGCAGATGGCACCTAGCACAGTTGGAACAACACAAGTTACATTAAATAGTTGACATGTCAGCAAGGACTCTCTTCAATGGCCAATCCAAAACAATATTGCAAGACACTGTGCCAGGAATGAGAAGAAGTGGAAGGTAAAGACATCACTGTATGGATGACATTAAGGATTGGATGAGGGTGCCTGTCTCAGAACTAATAGGAGTGGCAGAGGACTGAGATGGATGGCAGAGAATCAGTAGTAAACAGTGGTGCGCCAATGAACCCTAATAAGTTTTAAGGGATGTTGGGATGATGAAGAACTCTTTTAAAAAAGAAAATTCCTTTGTAACAAATCTGCAAAATGTCACTAAGTATGCCATTTTAAATACATTTGTCACTATGGTTAGTTTAAGTTTATACCAGGGATAGTATAATTTAAAAAAAAAACAACAGTTCTAGCCCTAGAGTTGCCAACTAAACTAGATGAACACCAAATCATCGAGCCTATGTATTGTCAGTTTTTAAAAGTTCACTCAACTGCTTTAATTTATAATTTGTACAAATGAAACAAATTTTAATAAATAAAGTAACCTAATGAAACAACTATCTGTAAGGAAATAAGTTGTCTTGTTTACCTCTTCAGCTGAGACAAGAACTCTTGAGCTGTGTCATCTTCCACAAGGCTGGTTCTCAGTTTGATGTACGAGTCTAAAAAGTTGACATTCTCAACAGCACACTGAAACAATTGAAATAAAATTAGCATTATTTAATATCTTATGAACAATTGAAATAAAATTAGCATTATTTAATATCTTATGAACAATTGAAATAAAATTAGCATTATTTAATATCTTATGAACAATTGAAATAAAATTAGCATTATTTAATATCTTATGAACAATTGAAATAAAATTAGCATTATTTAATATCTTATGAACAATTGAAATAAAATTAGCATTATTTAATATCTTATGAACAATTGAAATAAAATTAGCATTATTTAATATCTTATGAACAATTGAAATAAAATTAGCATTATTTAATATCTTATGAACAATTGAAATAAAATTAGAATTATTTGTGGCTCAATAAACAAATAAAATAAAACTAGCGTTTTTAATGGCACAGTGAAGACATTTTAATAACATTATTATTTTTAATAGCACGTTGAAGCAATTTAAACAAAAATAGCATTTTTATAGGCACACTGAAACAATTTAAATAAAATTAACATTACTAATGACTTATAAACAATGTAAATAAAATAAACACTTTAAATGGCACCCTGAAACAAATAAAATTAGTGCCTTTAATGGAATACTGTAACAGTAGATATGTAACAATTTTATAGGTTAAATTACTGTTTCAAAAGTACACTTAAACATATTAGATATAAGCAAATAATTTTTATTATTTGCACTTGAAATGTGCTAGAGTCTATAGAAAGTTGTAAGTCCACCCAGCCCTAATGGGTACCTATCTCACACTAAATGAAAATAAAGGCAACTGGAAACAGAACTGGTGAGAACATCCCTTAGTTTACCAAGTAAACAGAAGCAATAGAACTCTACTTGATCTGCCCCTATTGATCGCTAAGTCCGAAGTGTAACAACTCCTTGCACACAGGCAAATATCGTAAATCAATGTTCTATTTCAGCTGTCCGTTAACCAAGATAATTTTCACTTTCTTTACTACTAACAACTACCTTAGGAATCTAAATACAAATTAGTAATAATAAGAACCTGTTCAATCCATGAAATGTACTGTGACCCTATTGGTCCATCAAAGCAGTTGAGGCTGACAGCACTCTGACGTAATATTGCATACATCCTGCCCAGGTAGGCAGAACAGCCTTTTAATGTACTTTTTAATTCTTCATTCATCTTTACAGGGAACGACATTTTGCAAATGTGCCACCCCTGATAACAAAAATAAATTAACAATTCTAATTACATAAAGAGAAAAGTTAAAGTTAAAATAAATTAGCAATTATAATTACATAAAGAGAAAAATATTAAGTTAAAATAAATTAGCAATTAACATTACATAAAGAAAAAAATTTAGTGAAAATAAGTAAATAATTATTATTACATAAATGGAAAGAAATTTAAAAAAAATTAAGCAAAAAAAAATCAAATCCATGTATTATTTTTAATCCTAAATATTGTAAAAATTTGTATTATAGAGCTACTCAGTAAAATCACTAAAGAGTTTTTTGTCAGAATTAAACCATAAAATGTAAAAAGCTGTTTAACCTTCTCATCTTCACATAACAGCTTCAGACAAAAGGTTTCATTTTCCCATTGATCGGCCTCATCTTCAGCAACTACCTGTAAAACATAATCAAATTATTAAAAATTATAAAAAATATAAAATGGAAGGCTACATTTTGCTCAATCTATTTTGACTGCTTAGCCATAATTCTGAAATTCTTGGACACATGTCCATAATAGGCCTATGCTCCTGAGTTCACCCAGCTCTGATGGGTTCCTAACTCACATTAGGAAAGCATAGATGGCTGGGTACAGTGCTGACCACACTATCCCTTCATATGCCTAGGTTTCTGAAACAGATGAACTCTAAAATGGATGGGTCTGCGTGGTATAGCGGTAGAGAGCGAGACTGCTGACCCAAAGTCTCGAGTTCAAATCCGAGTCAGTAGAGTGCCCCTGAGTCCACCCAGCTCTATATTCCAAGGTTTCTGAAGCAGATGAACTCTAATTCATCTGCCCTATGTGTCTTGGACACAAAAGGGTAAAGATGATGAATAAAATGCACCAATCATCTCCTGATTTCAAAAAGTGTATCTTACAGTCATGAGTTTAGACGAGCGACTGGCAGTTTTTGGACGCAGCCTTGGCCTGCCAGCTGAACCAGGTCTCTCTAAGATGCTCTCAGTGTCATGGTGTCCATCTTTCTTGACAACTGACCTCGCTGAAAATGTTATACCAAAGTCATGTTCTTGTTGAATAACAATAATATGATTATAAAAGTGCCATAATACAAAAATACTACAATACAAAAATCAAATAATAAAAATAACACAAATAATATAAAACAAAAATAATATAATACAATAATAAAATAATTATAAAAGTAACATAATACAAAAAAATACAATACAAAATTAATACAATACAAAAATTGTATAGATCTAATAAAAAACTATAATACAAAATATAATTTTTTGTTATTTGCACCATATATTCTCAACCACATAACAAAAACAGAATAAGACTTAGTGAAAGCGAAGCATTTGTAAAATGATTTTAAATATCTCAACCTGCGATAATGTCTTATGTAGCTTGGTTAGAAGAAGAGAAACCTGTATTTACGATCAATAACAAATAAAAAACATACCAATCTTTTCAAAATCAACAACAATTAGTCGAGGTGTGGGCACAGTGTCCATGGAGCTGACATATGAGATGATGTGTCTCATGAACTTTCTCTGTACAAGTTCATATTCCTCCTAATGGAGAAAACAGTAAAAAAAATTGTTGGATTATTTAAATTAAAAAAAAAAGTTTTATACATATTTCAGATAATAATCTTAGTATTTTAAGTTGTATTAACACCATTGTGGACATATAACCCACTCGCTATTTTAAAAAGGTTTAAAAAAAAACAACCAATAGTGGGTTAATTGAAACCTACCTGAATGGATGTATTGTCAATTGCTTTCTTGTTCTCCACTTTAGTTTTCTCTTGTTCTTGAACATTCTTCATTTTTGTCTGGATTTCTTTTTGGGCAAGTATTTGATCTGAATGGCTTGGCATTCTTTCTCTGTTTCATGACAAAAAAAAAACTTTCATTAATTCTTTAATCTAACGTAGGATGAGTTAATAAACTTACTGATGCTGAAAATATTTTTAAAAGTTCTATGTTTTGTGCTGTGTTTTTATTCATTTTAAAATTCTTTACATAAATCTATTCCCAAACTTAATAATTAATGTGGAAATAATTAATTCATTACCTATCCAGATCTCTGATTTTTAGTCTTTTGTTATAAATGTGTATCTATTTTAAAATAGTTGAGTTTACTCTTTCAGATATCAAAATACTGCTTTTTAAAATTAAAAAATTAAAGAGATATTTTTACTTAATGTAATGGACTAAAGTATCCAAGGCTGTTGGATTCTCTTGTTGCATGTAAACTTTTGCAGCCTTAGATCTCTGCATCAATATTCCAACCTACATTGCACATAGAATAATAAAACAGCTAAACTAAGAAACACATTTTCAAATTTTATTTCAAATAACTATTAATAAAAAAAATGTCAAGCTAAATTGTTAGTTCTCAATTAGTTCTAATTAACTATTAGCTGATGAGTAATGCAAACCATATAGGTTATAGGAGTTAAAGGATTCTCATTGTCTACTTAACCAGTGTATTATTATCTTACCTCAGTTGTGTTGTTATTTTAACAGCTAACTCCAAACTTTTATTCCTCTGGCTAAAAAGCTTACCTCTGAATGTTTTTTATTATCTAGATATTTAACTGTTACCTCCTATTGTTATTGTTTCACAAATAATAAGTAAAGTTCCCCTTTTTGAACCTGACAGTCAATAGGGCAAGTGAAGTAGAGTTCACAGGTGTCTGTGACCTCTGCAGATGAAGGGATAGTGTGGTCAGCACTGTCCCCAGCCGCCTTTACTTTCCTTAACAGAGTAAAGTACCCAACAGAGCTGGGTAGCCTCGGAGGTGTTCTACTAACTTGAACCCATATTTGAAATAGTGATTTTTGCTTTAGCAGTCAAGTGCTCTAACTCTAGGCTATGCTGCGCTGTAGTTATTGTTTATTCAACGACTAAACTTACCTAATATTGTTATTGTTTATTCAGTGATTAAACTCTTACCTCAGATTGTTATTGTTTTTTTATTTGTTACACTGTTACCTAATATTGTTATTGTTTATTCAGCGATTAAACTCTTACCTCAGATTGCTTCCAATCTTTCCCCGTGCCAACAACAACTATAATAGTTGGCAGCTGAAGATTTAAAACTCCAAACCTCAGCTCCATCATGCAGTTGTCTGAGCTCACATACTGTCATATAAAACATGCAAGGCAATCAATTAAAAGAAAATTCAGCACAGATAAATGCAACAGTTGTAGATTACAAGCAGGACACATGTCCCCAAAGCAATAAAAAAGAAAGAGAGGAGATATATAAAAACTGAATGACTTGCTAATTCAAAACAGGGTGGTGGAAAATACAATCAGTGTGTGCATAGTTATCTTGGTGCTGAAACCATATATATACTACTGCAAACTCTGACATCAAGCAGACACCATTTGAAACACTGATATGAGTGATCAGTAGCATAGACACAATTTCAACACGGGGGAGGGGATTCAATTGATTTTCTATAGAGTTTATATATACATGCATAAAACGACAAAAACAAAACAAGAATACATGTTTCTCTAATTAGTTTTAAATTGTAAACAGAGTGTGCACCACAGCAAATAATTTTAACTAATCATAAGAAAACTTTCCTACCCTCACTCCTCCCCATACATCATTGCAAATGCTACGATATACACAACAATTGAAAACACATTCACACCATCCAAACGCTATATCCAAATGTGGGTATAGCACAGACATCCTTATTAGATAAACTGACCCACCCCACCAGATAAACTGACCCACCTCATCAGAGACAAATGCAACCAACACTTTAGAGTTCCTGATGCCTTCTGTGATGTTTTTAAATAGACCTTTACCCTGTTAAGTGTTGTAAAATTTTAAAGTTAAAGTTTAAAAAATCAAATTTCAATTATAAAAATATGTATATCTTGTATATTATTATGTATAAGTCTTACTTCTGTTAGTATGCATACATAAAAGTAAAAGGATAAAAAATCTGTCCATAGTTACAGTAGATAAAATAAATCATCAGTTATATAAACTCACAGAAAATGTTTGAATAGGCCTATCTAAAATAAATGTAACCATTTGTGTAGACTCACAGCAAATGGTTGGTCAATGTCCAGCCAACAGGTTATGTTTTTTTTCTCCAGCTCTTTCTTGACCTCCCTGGGGTCACCCCAGCCTAGGGACTTGTCAGAACAGATTGTCCCGAGTTTCTGCGCTTCTCTAGAGTTGGACCAGCAGTAGCTGATGAAAACACTTGGGTGTTTCTGAAGCTGAAGAGTTACAACATACTTGGTTTAACAATCAATATGAGAGATTGACTTTTTATACAGTCGTTTATTTATCTTGAATAATCAGTTAGTTCATTATAAGAGGCTCAAAAGTAAGAACACAAAATAAATGAGGAAAAAAATATTAATATAATACAAAAATTATACGATTGAATAACTAGCATTATTTTTTTATAATGAGGAGGTTAAAAATAATGATACAACATAAATGATGAAACATGAAAAAAAAACCAGTAAAAATTACGGGAACCATAAAATACATAATAGGTGCATGCTTGATAACACAAATGAATATAAAGACAACTATTTTGATATATACTCATTTTTAGATCTATTCTGGGGTAAGATGTAAAACTGTGCACACAATGCATGTACTCACACTCTGCTGATTTTGTTGTAGTTTAACACTGACAGCTTTAACCATTTGCTGAATGCGGCTCTCATCATATCTGTTTTTTGTCTTCACCATCACCATTTCCTGTAACAAAGACAAATATAAACATGTTGATTTACACAAAAGTTAGTGGGGTGGAGAGGATGAATAATTTATTTACAATGGAGGGGGAGGTGAAACTACTTAAATAGACTAGGGGTAGGATGAGGCTTACAAAAATAAATCAAACAAATGGTTCCCTTTTTTTAAAATTGAAAAATATGCTTATAAAGTCAGTATTTTTTTGTTGTGCCTAGACAACAATATAATATTAAAAATTACTATTTTAAAGAAGTTAAATTTAGGTTCCAGAAAAATTCCTGCACCTCCTGTTTTCCTATCCTCATCCCCAGGTCAGTGTTGAGCCACTCCTGGCTCTCACCAATGACCACGATGGTGAAATTTTTGGCCAGGGTGTCCATGGTGTACATGAGCAGGCCATGGGATTTCTCATCTCTCTCAAAGTTGTCTGAGACAAGGGCAACAACCACCTGTATAAGTGGAAGAACAGTTGTTAAAACAAGGGCACTACCACTTGCATAAGTGGAAGAATAGTTGTTAAGACAAGGACAACTACCAGCAACACAAGTAAAAGAACAACCATAACATTGCTGAGATAAAAATAATATAAAATAATGACAATTAAGACAGGCACGAAAGAAAATGAATTGTTACTGTAGCAATAGCAGCAATAACTAACACAGTAGAAATTAATCAATAAAATATGTTCTTTTATGTATTCTTTTGAAATTCCTTTGAATTAATAGCCAAGTTGTTACATTTTTACTTTCACTTATATTATGAAAACAATCTTCTCATCTTAAATAAATGGCAACAAAAATATTATTTAAATATAAGATTATGTTAAATACACTAATCACACAAAAAAATCTAATTTACTTAAAACATAAATTTGTTTCATAACATTTAGAAACAAAATTCACAGATTCATTTTTAATAAATTACATAAACAAAACAAACAAAAAGCTAGGTAGTTGCTGTTATTACAGTAGATTTGATGTAAGAAATGGATTTATTTGGCCGAAAAGAATGTCAGAGCAATATATTATGTCTTACCTTACAGTTTTTTAGTGCCAGCATTAAGTCTTGAACAGAGATGGAATCCATGTCATCAGAATACCAACTAAACAGAAGCAAAATTTAAAAAGTTTGTACAGCACATTGGTAAAAAGATAATTTTAGTATTCTTGCTATAAGATAAAGATCTAACTGCATCTAAGCTAGAAGGACACATATAAAGATCTAATTGTATTTAAGCTAGATTAACACAAATATCTAACTGTATCTAAGTCAGAATTTAGAATAAGGGCAGTATGAGCTCAAAAAGAAATTAATCAATATATAACCTATATAACTGACTAGACTTCAAGTCTTGAAAGTACAACTTATGTTATTTGTTAGAATTTGTCACACTTCAGGTTTACAAAAAAATCACACTTGGGAATAGACAATCAGGTAAACCAATGGCTGGATTGCCACAGAAAGCAAACATACATTGCTCTACTTTGTAGCCCCTCCATGCACCGCTCACCATGTAATTCCTGCACCCCACCCACCCACTCATTTACCATGCCATTCCTGCATCCCCAAACTCACCAAGTCATTCCAACAGTCTCTCCCACTCATGATGTGATTCATACAACCCCCCCCCTCCCCAAACTCACTAAATCATTCCTAGTCTCTCCCACTCACCATGTGATTCCTGCACCCCCCCCTACCTCACCAAGTCATTCCAACAGTTTTTTCCACTCACCATGTGATTCCTGCATTCCCCCCCCTCTCCCCAAATCATTCCTACAGTCTCTCCCACTCACCATGTGATTCCCGCCGCCTCTAGATCTCTCCAGACCCTCTCAGGATTGAGCAGAGTTGGATGCTTGTCATCAACCTTGTCCTTGGAGCTGTAGATAATGGCCACATCTGTTGACAGAGCTGAGTTCAACTGTTGCATGATAGTCAGGCTGTTTTGTAAGTGAGCATCAAAGTCTGAATCACTGTCAGATGGCATCACCTCTACAATATAGAGAACAAAAAAAAAGTATTAAATTATATACAACAAAAGGAATTACCTATAACATCTACAAAAAAATAAATCACCATAAAAATGTTATATAACAAAAGAAATCAACATAAAATTTTTTTACAACAAAAAATTTCCATTAAATATATAGAACTAAAGAAATTATCATTAAAACATATATATCATGTGTAAATATGTGTAATATCTGGGTGGAATGGAAATGGAATGGGGGGAAGGGGTAAAATCCTGCTCTCTTAACACAGTCCTGTTCAACTTTTATCAGGATAAAAACCTTTAAAACCCTTACCAAAGAGCTGAGCCATAGAGATGGTGTGGAAATATTTTCTACACTGAAGGAATGGGGCACGATGGTCTCTTGCTCGCTTGACCAGGCTGCTCTCAAACATGCTGGGGTCCAGAGTTCCCTGGAGAAAACATTTAAAACCACTTATTACACAAGATATAAAGGCTAAAACAATGTCATCTGTTTAATATTTTAAAATTACTAAAAGTTTCTTGATTTTTAAAAGCAGTTAATATTTCCTGAAATTATTGGGAAAGGTAACTCTGACATACTTTTCTAATGATACTCTAGGCAGGGAATCAAGAAAGATAACTCTGACATACTACTCTAATGATACAGCCTGGGCAGGGAATCAAGAAAGATAACTCTGACATACTTCTCTAATGATACTCTAGGCAGGGAATCAAGAAAGATAACTCTGACATACTTCTCTAATGATACAGTCTGGGCAGGGAATCAAGAACTCATAAATGACACCATGAAAAGATTCCTGGATAAGGGACTCAAAGATCTCATGGATGAGGAAAATAACATTTTCTGGTCGAGGTCCTTGAACTTTGACCTGGAGTTCTGAGTCACTAAATAGTGAAAAAAATGACAACAGGTTAATTTATTTATTAAAATATTTATTAATATTACATTATTTTAGTTCTAATTTTTTTACATTTAAATATGTTCTTGAAGATAAAAAATTAATTAACTATGTTTTAAAAAGTAGCCTATAACATTTTAAGCAAACAAAAATTAATCTAAAAAGTCTATTAGTACCTGGCTTTTAATGAAAAAAAAAACAACAGAATTCCTTATGCCAAAAGCCTTTTCTAAAAACTTAAGCTTCGGGACATGCTATATGCATAGAGTAAGTAGAAATGCCTTTAATAGTGAGCTAAACTGACCTGGTTTGTGAAATCAGAGCCTTGTGTTTGTTCTTCTTCAAGAGGGAGCCTCGTTTCCAGATTAGGTTTCCATCAGACAATTGAAACAGCCGAACCTGTGACAATATGGTTTAATTCAAACATGCAATTTTCAACAGATGAAATGTAAAAAAAATCTGTAAATAATAATCTTCTTCACATTCAAACTATTACAGGAAACATCATGCTGTATAGAGGCTTATATGGGAGTGCTGTTCAGGATGGCCAATGGGGTCTAACCAAAATATATAGGCCTATCTCTTTTTTTGTCAAATGAAGAAATCAGACGTCAGTAAAGATTAAATTTCTAAAAACAAATAATTAACTATAATAATTGATAAAGTACCAGGTGATTGACTGAATTAACAAACAAACCAATAAATGAAGAAATTAATGAATGAATGAATAAATAAATATGAATATATATATATATATATATATACATATATACATATATATATATATACATATATACATATATATATATATATATATATATATATATATATATATATATATATATATATATATATATATATATATATATATATATATATATATATATGTATATATGTAAATATGTATATTTGTATAGTTACATATATATAAAATAAGAATTTAAGAGGTCTATTAAAATTTATATTTAGGACCATCGTGAAATCAAAAGAAAAAGGTAAAAGTATATATACAGACCTGAGCTCTGTTGAATAGGCCAGCAGGGAGGTAAGAAAACTGGTAGATAAGCTTGGTCTCTTTTTGGTGCTTGCTAACATCTGGTAGTGGCCAGTTAAGCTGTGGTAGGACAATGTGGCAATTGTTTAAACGAATCAGTTACGTTAATTCAAAAACATGCCTACAGTGTGGTCTTAAAATATGTTAAATTAATATTTTAGCCTTTAGGTAAACTGTTTAGTGCTTTTTATTTAATAACTGATTATGCATTACTGTAATGTTAATATGAATTAATGAATAAATTATGCAACTGTCAATGTTTTCTTTTTGAAAGGATAAACAGGATATTGAAGTAAATTACCATTTTAAATATAGATTAAATACAGCCAATGATGCTAAATCTTTTGCGTTATAAATAATTAACATGATACAAAAGTAAATTGATATGTTAAATTGACAATTAATTCTGAAACAGTAGTTTAACCTTTTTAGTCAGAATGAACATGATACAAAAGTGGATTGACAATTCAAGTTTACAATTAATTCTGAAACAATAGTTCAAGTTTTTTCAGTTAGAATTATCATGATATAAACGCAAACTGACATTATCTGGCACTTCCTGTGGCAGCAGACATGGCACAATGTTAGTTGCCTCTTCAGGGAGGGGAAAGGTCAAATCAAACTCTTCAGTCAGCCTGAGCAGCCACTGATGTAATGACTCAGGATATTCCTTCCAAATTTCTTTGATAAATTTGTGGTGAAATCTACCTTTGCTATCCTGCAACAGTAACACTTAAGTTAAATTTTAGCAACTAAAGAACGAAATCAGTTTTTTACAGAAAGTGATGTATTAAAGAAGTAAAATTGAGTCTGTAGAAACCTTATCACCTGAATAGGAGAGTTCTTCACTGACACCACACATGACATGACATTGACAATCCACTGAGGGTTGATGACAACCTGATCTCTCAGAAACTCATTGTCAAAATACTGGACTGTGCCAAGCTCATGTAGAAACTGAATGGCCTCACGAATCTATCAGAAGTAAAAACTAAGCATTAAACACCAAATCTGACATAAGTACTACACAAAATTTATCAATAAACAATAAGCTTATAGGAAAAAATAATGTGAGCATTTTGGTTTGCTGCTATGATTTTTTTTCTATAAACAACATATGTCATTGCCATGCTGTTTAATTTAATTAGATTCTATTAGACCTGTCTTAGGTTTAGTTGAATATACAGAAATACATTGAGGATACTTAGTCCACCTTTATTTGCCAAACAGGTTGTGTTTTATTAGTGCATAAAATACAATCAATGCAACAAAAAAAATATATCTTCTTCTTCCTATAAATTAATCATTGATATTTTTGAGTCTTTCTTTTACAAATAGAAAATATTTCATTAATTAGAAAATAAATTAATTCTCACTGAACATTATATATTTAGGGTAAAACTTTATAAAAGAAATAACTCAAAAAGAAAACTCATAAAACTATTTAAGCTTCTGACATGAATCATAGACACAAGATATTCATTTAAAATATTTTCCTTACATCTTTCTCATCATAAATTCCAACCTCCATGCAAAATTGTTTGATTTTTGTCCATTCCAGTATACTTTTAGCTTTTCTTGCTCTGAAATATACAGAAAGAATATTTTAACAAAAGCAATTTTTATTTATATGAATAAAAAACATAATATGAAACCAATTTTAAGATTAGTATTATAACTTTTTTAAATATATGTTATGTTTTGCATAAAAAAGTTCTAAAACTTCCTTTAAGATTTGTTTCACAACTTTCAGAAACTTACTTTAAGATTTGTTTCACAACTTTCAGAAACTTACTTTAAGATTTGTTTCACAACTTTCAGAAACATTAAGATTTGTTTCACAACGTTTAGAAACCTACTTTAAGATTTGTCTCACAACTTTCAGAAACTTAAAGATTTGTTTCACAACTTCCAGAAACTTACTTTAAGATTTGTTCTTCCAGTTTAAGCCAGACTTGTGGAATCTTTTCACCCATGTTCTTTTGTTCCAATGTCACTTTCAGTAGATCCTTTTCTAACTCTATGATGCCCTAGAGATTTTATTTAAAATTTATACTTAAACAAATTATTTAATTAGTAAACTGTAAAATTGTATTTTTTTTCTAAAAATCTTCACTTTTAATAAAACTTCAAACAAGATTTCATCATAACTCAAAGACAATATACAGAATGAGTTTTAGCAATTTAATTGTTAAAAATTTTTTTTATAATTTTAAACTGAAACAATCAGATACTTTAATTTTAGTAAAAATAACAAACAACTTACTGTTCCTTGAAGAGAACTGACAAAATGGAACCCAGCGATTTGTGGGTAGCGTTGCTTAAGATCAGCTATAGGAATATCTGCTTTGGGCACCTGTAAATAAAACAAAATTGTTAAAACAGAATTCACTACAGAATTTATTTAAGCTATTGTATTTATCTTTATGAGCTACAATTTTATGTACATATTTAATTTATTAAAAATAACTACAATAAAAGATCACAAATTGAATAAATGTAACTTTTGAATTAATCATAGAATTTTTATAATTTTTCTCTGAACTTTCTACTGTGTAGTCCCTACCAAGTATTGTTTTCTGCTCTATATGACATCATAATTAACCAGCCATCCATTATGGACATTGTTTGAATGTTATAAGCTTTAGTCTTTATTTTAGCAGGACAAATCAGGAGCATACACAGTGGGTGCATAAATAGCTTATCAGCGAGTTGACATTAGAAAGAAAATAAATGGTAACTATTTTGCATACAAACTTGCTCTTTTAAACCCAGCTTCACATTACACAGCTTTACCACACAAATAATTCATCACACAGAAAAATGAATCATACAGACTAGTGCCACACTTGATTAACATACAAAATATACATCACTCACAAGCATGGATCTACAGAACCAGTTCACAGACAAGGTTCAAGCCACAAAATGAGTTTAAGATACATGACTACAGACAGGTTTAAAACACAAAAAGAATTTGATACCTGATCAAAGACATGTTTAACACACAAAATGACTTTAAGATACCTGATCAAAGACATGTTTAACACACAACCTGACTTTAAGATACCTGATCAAAGACATGTTTAACACACAACCTGACTTTAAGATAACTGATTACAGATAGGTTTAACTCAAAAAATGACTTTAAGATACCTGATTACAGATAGGTTTAACACCAGATGACTTTAAGATACCTGATTACAGACATGTTTAACACACAACATGACTTTAAGATACCTGATTACAGATAGGTTTAACTCAAAAAATGACTTTAAGATACATGATTACAGACAGGTTTAACACAGAAAAATGAGTTTTAGCTACCTGATCACAGACAGGTTTAACACATAAAATGATTTTAAGATACCTGATTACAGACAGGTATAACACAGAAAAATGAGTTTTAGCTACCTGATCACAGTGAGTGCCAACAACAAAAATGGGTGTCTTGGGGGCGTGGCTGGCTATAGAACTCAGCCAGAACTCCAGCCCAGCATGCTCAAAACCTTGTCTGGTTGACCACAACAGCAAGTAGACAGCTCGTTTGGACAGGAAAAACTGGGGAAATAAGGTCAAAGGTTAGAAAAAACATGGCGCATTAGCACAAACCTTTTTAACTATATACAAAAATGTACAAATGAAGACAAATTGTAATGACAACAAATTTAAAGGTTAATGTTACAACAGGGTTGTTTTTAAAGGGGAACCGCAGCCAACATTTTTGGAAAAACATGACTTTACTTGTGATACTACCAAAATATACGGTAACAGAAATTTAAAATATCAAATTATTTTTATTTAATATGTGTGTTATCCTAGCACAAACTGATCATTCAATTATTCTAAAAAGTTTTTAAACTGTTAGTTTAGTTCAAATGCAGTCACCTGATGTGTGTTGTAGTACAAAGTTTGACCAGCAAAGTCCCAGGTGCTGTAGGTGACATCCACTCCATTGGTGTCCTTCACTGTCCAGGGGAGGATGTCAATACCATTGGTTATATCCTGCCCTCTTGTGCCTGCTGTTTTCTTGGCATCACTCATCAGAGCTTGTAGGAGACTGAAATCACAACAAGGCTAAAGTTTCACTATCTTGGTAATAAAGTTTAAGTAGAAGACTGAAATCACAACAAGGCTAAAGCTTCACTCTCTTGGTAATAAAGTTTAAGTAGAAGACTGAAATCACAGTAAGGATAAAAATTCACTCTCTTGATCATAAAATTAAAGTAGAAAACTGAAATCACAAGGCTAAAAATTCACTCTCTTGGTAATAAAGTTTAAGTAGAAGACTGTAACCACAACAAGGCTAAAGATTCACTATATTGATAATAAAATTTAAGTAGAACACTAAAATCACAACAAGGCTAAAGATTCACTCTCTTGGTAATAAAGTTTAAGTAGAAGACTGAAATCACAGTAAGGATAAAAATTCACTCTCTTGGTAATAAAGTTTAGTTTTAAAAAAGTAGTACTACATTGTTTCAACAAATATAAAAATAAATCAAAACACCAATAAGTGATTATTTTTAAATGACAAAAGTTAACAGAAAGTCATCTCCAGAGATAAGCTAAATGGAAAAAAAACATGCAGATTTGAAATTATGCACAGAATGTTGCACCTAAAATTTTTTTAGCTTGTTTCATTGTTATAACAATTTTCAGCTTCAGTGAAAAATGTATGATGATGGAAAAATCAAAGCAATAAACATGTACAATTCTCATGAAGCTACTCAGCAAGGTTGATTATACAAGGTGAATGAGCATTTAAACAGAATAACTATGAGATATTTAACAACAATCAATGCAATCAACATTATATATTTCTAGATGACACATTTTTTTTGTCTCAAGCATCCATTAGAGGAAATTTGTAAACTTCATCCCCAAAAGAGTTAAAACAATCACATAAACAGCAGCAGCTACAGTTCTGACAAATTCTGACCTTGTTTTTCCAGCACCTCCAAGTCCAACCAGCATTAGCTTTGTCCGTCTGCACTCAGTGAACCCTCCAGCCAAACGCTTCAGGTAGGCTTTGATGGACTGGAATCCTCTGCTCACTACTTCATGTGGGGGAGTTCTTAGTGAAGGATTGCTCACTAATCTCAGGGCTGGGTAATGGCACAAGATTTGTAAATAAACATTTGTGAAGTGTTGTTAGTTTTTCTAACCTTTAAGTCTAATATTTAAAACAGCAGTAGTATTAATTTTTAAAAATATTGTGCCCTTACATTTCAAGCTGGGCAAGTGACCCAGCGACCCTGGCAAACTCTCCAGCAGGGGGTTATGGGATATGCTCAGTGCCTTGAGGTTCTGCAGACGACACATGTGTACTGGCACTATGGTGATTGCTTGGAAGTCCAGATGGAGGGTCTCAAGTCCACTGAGAAGGAATATAACTGGAGGGATGCCGCCATATTCCGAGCAATCTAAAAATAAACATAAAATGTATAGTTATTTCACACAAAAATTAAAAATTTTTTTTTTTAATACTGCAAGGGAAACTATATTTAAATATGTTTTATTTTGTAGAAAGCTTCATTCTAGTTTTTATGGTGTCAACTTACTTATGCAGGACGATCCTAAACGGGGAACTTTCCAGAAAAAAATGGCATTAAGTGCAGCAATTTCTGTTTCATCAAGTCTAGCATTCTTGTTATGGTCAGCTTCATTAAACATGGCCATCAATTTCTGAAAATATTAAAACATAACCAAACACTTCAGACTACAAGTAAAAAGAAATATAGCAAAGGCACTAAGTTCAAGTCAAATACATATAGGCCTTCAGAAAAGTTTTTGTAAATTTCTATAAAATTATGAGCAGGGGAGCATGTGATTGCTAACTCCTGAAGTCCCAAGGTTGATAAGGCTTGTTAGCTGAGAACAGCTACTCAACTAGGAAAAAAACACCCAAAAAAGCTGCCTTGCACATTTTTCATGGGTGGACAAGGGCATGGAAGCAGATCCAGAATGAATAACAGGCTGAAGTTGGAGTCAATAGGCGTTTAATATGTTGACATACTTAAATATCTAGGGGGGAATCCCTTTCAATATTTTACAATTAAGAATGAAGAAGAAGAAAAATAATATGAAAAATGTTCAACCACATAGAACGTGTATTAAAATTGAACTAAAGACTTTTTACCTCCCTGCCAAGATAGTAGTCCAAAGAAGAATTGTGTGCAAGAAAGTCTTGGTACTGGTCTATTGGCATCTCAACTTTAGAACCTCCAGTCACAATCCATGGTACACCTGCACAATACAATGCTATCTTTAAGAAACACGCACATGTTAAACAACAAAGAAATCTGATGCACTAAAAACTTACACAAAACAAAAATTTGATATTTGACTACTCATGAAACTTAAAGTTCCCTTTCAAACTTGATAGTTTGTAGGGAGAGTGAAGTAGAGTTCACCTGTTTCTGTGACCTTGGCATGTAAAACTTACATAACACAAAAATTTTGCATTTGACAACTAAAAAATCTCTATACAAATACTCATAGACCACCCAATTCATTATAAAACTCCATTCCCCCCCCCCCCCCCCCCCCCAAATGATTAGGATATGAAAATTATTATAAAGAACTCTCAAATCACATTACATATTGATCTATTAAATTGGAACTTTGGTTTAAAAAAAACATGAAACAATATTTCTAATTATGGGCTAATTACCACAAAGAAGCAGTGTTTTAAGCTTAGTCAATGAGCTTAGCTCCATAGGAAGAGTCTCAATTGGGTTGCTGTTCAGGTTCAGCAACTCCAGGTCAGTGAGAAGACCAAACTCTTTAGGGATGGAAGTCAGCAAAAGGTCTGACAGGATGAGGTGGGTGATGGGACAGTTAACTGGAATACTGGTTGGCATAGTCTTCACCTGGAAGTAATAAAATAACAGAATTTTCATGAAATTTTTTTTTTATGATTAGAGGAATACCCTGAACTTTGATATTTGGTTCATTTATTTGAGCAATTTTGCTTATAATTCTAAACACTAGCCAATTATTAACTGTCCATTATCTGTGATATTATAGTAAACCTTTTAGTAAGATCAGTATTATGATTTTGCTTTTGCAAAGTGCTCCTTTTAAATATGGGAGTTAGAAAAGAGCTCATTTATTTCATGACCATAGCACATAAAGGGATATTGTGGTCAGCATTATGCCACCCACATATACTTTACCTTATTTAAGCCAGGTACTTATAAGAGCTGGGTGGACTCAGGGATGTTCTACATCATACTTGTCCAATGTTTTTTTTGTAGGAAAATGTAATTATTTAAACCCATTTTTTTTTGTTTAACATATTGGTAAGTACAAATAGATTTCTTTCCATATGCTTTATCAGTTGTCTCTCTATCCATATAATAAAGAAAGGACACGAAAAAGTCCTAAAGATTTACCTTGAGAGAATGGCAGTGAAATCTGTGGAGGTACGGAATGTGGAACAAATCAGAAGGCAAAATCTCAATAACACAGTTCCTCAGGGAGATCATCTCAAGGCGCTCACACTTGGAGATGCCATCAGGCAGTTCCTTCAAGCCATCGCAGCCCTCAAGCTTGAGGTACTGCAGGTTGGTCAAGAGAGCGTACAGATGCTGGGGGAGTTTGGGGATCTTCAGACCCTCCCGCCAGATCACATTCACCGTTTCCTCGTAGGGTGAGAATAGTTCTTTCCTGAAATAACATTTAAAAAAAAATAAAATCACTATGAACTTTAACATTTTTGTTGATATAGTGTTATAATTGAGTGTAGGACCTTGGTTAATTGCCCCTCCCGCTACATATCCAGCTCTCTACCTCTAACCCTATCTCTAAATTATCTCTGACATATCCTTAACCCTATTAGATATAGGGTTTATTAGTAATGACTAGGGGGAAATCCCCTACTGCCATTTATTGTTTTTTCGGATGGACAATGTGTAACAGGGTAATTGCCAGTGGGGGGGGGGGGGGGTAATGATGGGTGTAATGTCCTGCTCCCATTATAACTCTAAACTGCAAACAATGCCAAGTGTAATTCATCACAGACCTGAAGTCAAACTCTCCCTCCAGCTGGACATTGGTTCCAGGCAGACACCACTGGTGGGCCTTACAGTACACATTGTTCCGGAAACCTTTCTTGATCAGGGTGTCGTCGGCTAGTTCAGCCTAGGAGAAAAGAAAATATTGGTTAAACATTTAAGATTAAACAACAAAGAAAATATAACTCTATAGATACATTCATGTTCCCATTATAGCTGATAGGAAAGTGGGTAAAACTATTTTCCTGCATACATTAATAAATACCAGAAGTGAATTGAAAAAAAAATCATGTCTGTAATTGTGTATATAAATGATGTATATTGAAAGTACTTCAGGGGTGCCAAATAAACAACAACAGATACATCCTTAGTTTTTCTACAAAACCTAATTTAAGGAACAGCACTTTAGTTTTTCTGTTTTTGTGTGATCCAGTGATGATAAAAACTTCAAGCCCAGCCTATCAACAATGTTAACTATTTTTCAATCACCATAGGAAAGACAAAACAACCTCAGAATTTAAAACATTAGAAAGGCACAATCCTTGAAGCCTAATAAATAAATAAAAATGTTAGCTGCTGTGAGGTTTATGCAAATGGTAATAAAACTGGTGGTGTCAGAGGCATAGCTAGGGAGGGCGGATAAGTAACCATTCAGTTTGGCGACCCCAAGAGGGAGCACTAAACAGGGTAGAAAAACATTGAATGCTCCTGCTGAATTATATACAATAAAAATATAAGAATATTGACTGCTACTTGGGTTTAGGCGGTTTATTTAACTGTAAGACACACAAAAAAAAAAAAAAAAACTGTTAAGGGACGTGACTGTTAAAAAGTGCCTCAAAGCTTTCCAAATTATTGGAAGGGGGGGGGGGAGGGCGCTTTTTGTCAACCTGAATAACTATATATATAAGGGGAGCGCTAATTCGATAGCTTGCCCAGGGCTTTGGAATAGGTCTCTACGCCTCTGGGTAGTGTTAGTGTCCTCATTATTTAAAGACAACGTTTTGACCCAAGGTTATTGTGTGCTGACAAAGAGCCTTTAAGCCAAACACTTTACCTGATCAGTCTGCTGAATGATGCTCATGTAGTTGTGTTGGATGGAGTCTGTTATAACTTTGGTTCCATTTTCAGGTGTGGTCTGGTACTTGATGCCTCCATACTGTTCTGCCAGTAGGTGGCACTGTGCTGCGTACACATGGATCAATGACCTCATCAAGGCTTCAAGCTGGAAACCAAAAAAAATAAAATTAATGGTATCACACTAAAATTTTGAAATTTCTGAGTTACATAATATGACAGAAACAAAAAACAACAAACATAAACACATTTAACTGTATTGCTTTTATTATATTTTACATTATATTTGCTATATTAGCTTGGAACATAATTGTTATGAAGTTGATATATATTTTTTATTTTTTTATTTTATGTGTGTGTTGAGTTTGTGAACAACAAGGATCAGCTTAGTCTTAGTATAAGAAGGCCAATTATTGAGAAGATAATGTTATTACAAGTGAACAAATTAGTGAGCTTTACAAAAGATATCAATGTAGTGAAATAAGATGAGACAAGAGACAGAGTCAATGATGTTTTGATAGTGATAGTTCTGATATAAAAAAAATAATCTGATAACAATAGTGATAGATGTATTTTAAAAAGTATCTTAATACTAATGATAAGAAAATACAAGTGTAAGCCTTATTCCAATTTGATATGTTTACCAAAATGTATAATTAATTTTAAAATTAATTTTTGTAACATCAAATAGTACATTTTAAGATACTTAAGTGTTAGTAAAATATAAAGTAATTAAATAAAACTACAATAATTATTCAATTAAGCCTCAGACAAAAACCAAAATTTTGATTTAAAAAAGAAAAGAAAATGAACCTGAGTTTTGTTAAAATCTGGTCTACCCTCAGGAAAAAGTTTGTCACAGTGTGGGAGGCACATCTTGTTGGAGTAGAGGGTGGAGTAGATCCAGCCATTGAAGGCAGACGTGTACATGTCTTCAGCCTGCAGCGGGGGGCTGGGGGTGATGGGGTTAACATTGACAAAGTGGAGGGGGACGTCCAGGCTTATCTCATGGTCATTGCCCAGCTGGATGTTGAAGTACATCTGGTCTGAAAAGTCAACCACACAAATACATAAGTCAACCATACAAATACATAAGTCAACCATACAAACACATAAGTCAACCATACAAATGCATAAGTCAACCATACAAATGCATAAGTCAACCATACAAATGCATAAGTCAATCACTCAAAACAGGGCATCAATCACACAACTAAATACATCAAGCTCACAAAAACATGACAGTTAAATTTTTTTTTTTTAAATATATTAGTGTTAATAAAATGACTTAAAGTATTTTTCAAAAAATTTATTAGTCACAAGTAAAAATGATATTGAAAAACATTTTTCTACATTTTGATTAAATAATACTTATTTTTCCAAATACATAGAAATTGTATTTCAAAGAGTTTCTAGTGAAAATTGTGAATTATTTCGGGTTAGAATAAAATTTAATAAAGTGAATATAGGTACCAGAAACTGAGATAAAGAATATTTGACTCACCAACTAAGAAACACAGAACATGGACATCAATGTTTGTAAACATGCGAGGCACTGAAGGATAGCACAGGGTCTTATGGCCCAAATTTGATGGCAGGAATGCAAAAGCCATGTCAAATTTTCTGGAGGAGTTTGCTCCCACAAGCCATTCTGTGTCACTGCCAATCAGCTCGCTAAGTTGGAGCTCTTGCACTGGGAAGTTTAAGAATATGATTAAGGTAAAGAAAAAAGAACTTTTACTGTTGATAATTGATACACTTAGACATAAAGAAAAGGAAAAATAGAATACTAACTGTTAATATGGTTACAAATAAATGTAGATAAATTAAAAGCTTTGGTTGCAATACTATGAAAAATAATTCTTGCTCAACCAAACATAGTGAAAATTCAACTATGCTAAGTAGATTTTCTTATACTTTGTGCTATATAAAAATTGTTATAAATCTTTTTTAACCCTTTTATCAACTATTCAGATGATTTTTTAAATAAAAAAATTCTTGATTTGCCATAAGTCAATATTCCGACTTTACCACACAAATGTTTGATTTGTAAATGTTAATTGAACATTTATTCCCACTTTTAAAAAAAAATTGTCCAACATTTTAGAATGAGCAAAGCAATACCTGTAACTCTTGTTGGAACACTTCTACACTGAGCCACAGAGTTGAGAGTGTTTGCCCTCCATACATTGTCTATTGACTCAATAGCAGCTTGACTTGCCTGAGAAGATAACATTTTAAATCTCAAGGTTTAGTTTTATACATTCAATTACTACTGTGATACATTAGCACAGGTTCCCAGAAAATTGTGCAAACAGAAACAAACTAAACTGATACATTTAAGTTTTGTCATATTTTGTAGAGAAATGCTTTATTATGCAACAATGTACATGTAGTAATTTCTTTGCTTATGTTAATAAATGATTGATTTAAAGAAAATAAATTCCCTTGCACACTTCTTTGTGTGCAATTTACTGTTGCACTGTTTTCCAATGCAATCTTTCTGTCACAAGTTGTGCAAATAAAAGATCATGGACCTACCTCAGTAAGAAGATGAAAGGGAGGGAACACATATGCCCTTTTGGTCACTGACACATGACCTGTTGTATAAATCAAAGATATCATTAGCAGAGTGCTAATTGATCAATGGTATTAAAAATTAAACCAACAGTAGGGTATTTATGTTTATTATAAATTTTAATTAATGCTTGCCTTTGGTCTAGTAGATAATATTTAATAATAGCTAATTGAGTACATTTTTATTTTTATATCCTGAGTTGCAAAACAAAAATATTGTTTGGCAGCTGCCATAGTAAATATTTTTGGTTTCGATACCAAGCCTCATTTTCATTTGTTAACTGTCTCATAGATGTTTCAAGAATGTATCGGCCTACTTTCATTAAGTTTTATTTAGCAATGACTATAGTGATAGTTGCTTAAGTGCTTTTTATATACTTTACTTTTGTAGTTTGTCTTATAGACTCAGTACAATAGAGGTAATTTAAGTAAAATCTTCATGATATTTACTTGATACAATTGTTTATTTGCTCTACCACAAATACATGTGTATGGAAAATTAAATATTTCTTCACACTAAATAATTTCAATTAATAATTAATAAAAATAGGGTTTCACCTGAGATTTAAAACTTTATTATTGTTTAAAATGACTTAAACAAATAAAAACTAAATTTTGTAACTTTCAATTTGATACCAATTATCAAAATAATTCAGAAGCCTAGAAAATGCTTTTTTTTAAAATAAAAATTGTGTTATTAAATGGCTATAATATTTTATCTGTTAGTGTGGGTTAACTTTTCAGGAGTGTTGTTATGACTCAATTGACTGTAAAGCACAGATGTGTCAGCTGCTAGATTTCTTCCCATTTAAATACATGGCAGACAATATGGGCAGGCTTAGTTGCATTAGCAGATGTCTCAAGCAAGTTATAATTTTCATGAAAATTTCTTAAGCCCTCAACAACAATTGAAGTTAAACATCAAAGCCAAGCCCTGTTCCACTATCAAGAACTGCTAGAGCAAATGCTACCAACCTCTTGGTTCATAACTGATGAGATTTAAGGCTGCCACTTTCACAACTTCTGGTTTCTGATCTTCTGATTTTTTCCCATCCTGAGGCTCGACTTCATTTTTTTGCTTTTCTATTATTTCATACTCGATTTCCTGTACACAAGGTTAATTTTTTAAAATTAATTAAGAGTAAAAAGCTCCTAGAGCCAAGCAAGCTTTGAATATTATGTAATTTAACAAAATGTTGTTGATTTAGATCAACCTGAATGATGTGATTTTGCATAAAAAAGTGAACAATATTATAAGAATCTACAATTAATAAAAACTAAATTGAAATAGAAATATATTATAAAAAATAAAATAAAAACAGTTTGATAAAGCTTTAAACATTAAAATGTAGATAAAGTATTTTATTTGTACCTTTATACTGATAACAGGATCTGTAATTTTTGCCTTCATGTGTTCATTGGTTGTTTCCCTTGAATATTCTAATGTTAAAAATCCATCTTCAGTGGCCTCTTCAATTATGGCTTCAGCATACAGATCTCTGCATGCAGATTTTATTTATAATAAATCTCTATAAAACCTTTAACACTTTAAATTACTTTATCAAATCTTTTACTATAAAATAATATATTTTATAATTTTACCTAAAATATAATAGGAATTTTCCTAAGAGAAAATTTTATTAACTAGTTAAAAAAAATATAAAATGGCCTAAATACAAAAATGTATACGAATAGTCTCAAAACTAACACTCAAATTTTTTTGGTATTTTAAACAAAATAGATAGGCTTTACATTAAAAACTAAACTATAATACAAATGTATTGTAATCAACATTGCAATTATTTATGTACACTAAATAATGCTCACTATGATACATATTTACATATAAATAATGTTTATATCCAATAAAAATAGTTTTTAATATTGTCTTTATTGTAAAAAAAGATCTAGATCTTGTGTCTATCAAAACAAGTCAAACAAAAAAATACAGAATAAGAAAAGTAAACAAATGTATACTTTTCAGGAAGATCTATGACAATTCTCATTCCTCTCTGGAATCCATTTGGCTGGCCAAGTGTCTAGAAATAAATCAATCATTTTGTTGTAAAATCTATCAGTTTTTTTTTAAATTTATAATAGTTTGATATAAAATTGTTTTGCTTAAAACATGTTTTTATTTAAATTTTAACAATTTTCAAATTTGCTTTAATATAAGTTTATATGTTTAAATCATTGCACAATTCCTAGAAATATACAACAAATTTCCTTTGATTTTTTTTTCTATAGATGTATAAGGACACTTACAGGATATTTTGGGTAACGGACCAGCACATTGCTTGTAGGTAACAGGTGACAAACATAGTTGCCTCTCTTTAACCAGTACTTTTGAACAGAAATTCCATTTTTAAAAACTTCTGCCAGATAACCATGCTGTCAGATTAGAAATTTTTTTTATTTTTGGCTGGATATTAAAATGAAAAGATAAAACAAAATTCAACTTTTAAAAGAGAAGTATAAATGAATTAATTAAATCTGTTAATTATTAAAAATACATAGACCAATGGTTCTTTTGGGGGGGGGGGGGGTGGTAGACTTTCTTTGGGGGGGGGGGGGGGGGGCGGACACTGTTACAAGTGTATATTTTCTATATAAATTATATAAATTTCATTTCGTTGGGGGGGGGGGGGGGGCGGTAAAAGCCCCCCCCCCCTGAAGAGATGCCTGGAACAAACTCTGAGTTCATTGTCCACACTCACAAAATCCTACTGTGAATGAAGTGAATTGTACGAGTTCAATGTGTGACTTGACCTCTAGTGAACCCCAGAGACTGACTTGTAATGAACACAATGTGAAATAAACATTTATCTTTCTTGGATTGAAAGATTTGTAAAACACTTCTCAAAACGTGCGTGTAGCCATAAAATTTTAAACTGCCATTACTTTGTTGTAAAAACCCATCACAAATCTACTTTTTCTTATATTAAGTTGCAAACATACTGAGCTATCAGGTTCTACAGTAGCCAGTTTCAAGGGAAGTAACTCAGAAGATTGCACATCTGTTACGGAGACTGCTAATCTGGAAATAGAGATTAGAAATATAGGTTTAAATCTAAGATGAGGGTAAGGCTATGTATAAGTTAAAGGTTTAGGGGCATTAAAGGTTATAGATAATGACTAATATTGTGGGATAAGATTGACCTCTTTAGGGTCATTATTAAAATTCAGGTGAATTAAGCTTTCCTTAAAAAAAAATCACTGAGCTTGGACTCTTTTACATATAAAAATTTTACACACTTAAAAATTTCAAAATCTTTATTTTTTTAAAATTAAAAACCTGCTTTCTAATTATCATTATATTTTTCAGTCAAATAGGTCATGTTAATATAAAAAAAGTTAATTATATAAAAAAGTAGGCTATACTAGTAAGAATAAAATCCACAACTGCCTGTATAGTTACCTGTGTTTGAGAAGGCTCTCAGATGTGGTGCTGTTATACAAGGGCAGGATATCTTCATCAGTGTATTCTCTGTTAGACTCCAACAGGAACCAGTGGATATGGACAAAGTATAACTCTTTATCTGTAGAAAACACAAATATAAGGATGTTACTCTCTAGATGGAGAAAACACAAATATATAGACAAAGTATAACTCTTTTACTGGAAAAAACCACAAAGTCAGTTTAATAAATGATCCATATTTGCAATGTAATTGAATGATAGGCATGCACACCCAAAAAAGGGACAACATGATCAGATGGTTAGAGTTTACGACTGCTAAAAGTTCAACACAGGAGCAGCTGCTGTCAAAACACATAACATAAACATATAAAATCTAATTTCTCACATACTTTTTTTTTCTAGTAAAGTTTTAAACATTGTCCAAATCTGATAAAAATAATAAAGGTCCTGTACCTTCAGTAGGGTCTACAGACAATCTAAAAGCTCTGCACTTTGATGGCTCAAGGAAACTGACATCACCTGTCACTATGTGAGGTGGGGATATCTAAAATAATCAAAGGATAACATATTTAGTATATACAAATCAGTGGGTGGGTTGATTACCCAAAAGTCCGATAATTGTTTCTCAGGCTTGAGTCAACAGATATTCTTGAGTCCATCTAGTTTTGATGAGTATCAGGAAAAGTAGACACAGTTGGAATAGCATTGATTACACAATCTCTTTCCATACACATTTAAAGAAAAATGAACTCTTTTCGCACAGTTCATAGCAGTTAAAAATGAGTATTTAAAAAAAGTGACATAACTATGTACCTTGAAACCAACAATGTTTTTGCTGGGGTTGTAGATAAAAAGCCATCCTTGTAGTTTACCACCAACTTTCATCATGGGGAGTTTTTTACCTGGGCTGTAAAAACAAATTTGCTTTTTTAGGGGGTCATCCATTTAGGCCTACAATGTCTACAAAATAATTTGACTGAGTATGATTTTCTGTTTTCTACAACCCTCACATAATTCTGAGACATGAATTTACAACATGATACCATGATTTTATTTAAAAAAAAAATGAATTCCAAGCATGTCAGTAAATGATTATACTTGGGATGCAAGTGACATGTTTTGTGTAATTTTTATTTGTCTAGATAAATATTTTGATGTTAAATTTGAAATGTGGATGTCCCCATTGATGTGAGTCACTCTACCCCACCCCATCGTCCTCAGTCCACAAGTAAATTATTTTTTTAATTCCCCTCTCTCCTGCCTCCCTGTGGATAACATAAGTAGATGACCCCTTAAGTAATTGGTCATAGATTTAAACTTTGCTTCTGTAAATTTAAATATGGCATGAAATGACTAGTTTTGCTCCTTCTTTTTACTAAAACAGATCTTTTCAAATATACTTTTATCTTATATTTTTCTTAAAAGCCAAAAATTAAACAGATCTTACATTAAAATGTTACACGGTTTCAATATGGTGATTATTACATTTTTAAAGTTCAATAATAAATCCTGGGCAAAGCATTATTTAATTTTTAAAGTACTTTAAGCTAAGTTTAGTATATATTGTTAGTTTTCAAATAATTATAAAATAGAATTGTATAAAAGTAGGTAGCATGAGGTGAAATGTCAAGAATTAAGTGTTGCAGATGAGAAACAAATGTTGACAAATTACCTGATATACATGTTGCCATACTTGTAGGAATCAAAGGCAGAGGGAAGGTCTGGCTGCAGGCACAATAACAGGGGGAGCAATCAGTGATTACAGCTTAATTTTTAGTTTATTTTAAACCTTTTAAATGTATGTCAACCATAGTTATGTAAATGTTTATGTGATACAGTAACACATTTTATGGGTCAGGTGGTAGAGCATACATCTGCTAACCCAAATGATTTGAGGTCAAATCCTGGGCTAGAGTCGCTCCAACTCTGGTGGGTACTTTTTGGTACATGATTCATGTTATGGAAAGTAAATAAAGCTGTTGGGCGCAGAACAGACAGCACTATTCCTTATATGTCGAGGTCACAGAAACAGATGAACTCCACATCATCTGCCCCACTGACCATCAGGCAAGAAAGGGTCACTTTTTAAACTTATTTGTTAAAAGGCGAAATTCTCAAGTTTGTCAGTGCTGATACTATTTTTTTTTGAGAAAACAATATAGCATTCAGAGAATTTTATTGTGATCCCGATTTTAAATAAAAGCAAAAAATATAATTTCAATTATGAAATATGCTCACCATACCAACAAAGCCATGTAATGTTAATGTGATATATTATCTACACATTCTATAAGCCTTTGAATAATGCAATCCAAAAAATTAATGTTAACTAAAATAAATTTGTAAAAAATATATATAGCCTATGGACAGGTTCCTAGGCCTCTAGATGATCGGTGGACAAACAAAATGGCTTTTTACCTCCTCATCTCCAGTCATCTGCCAGGGTTCTTTTTCAAGCAGCCTCACAGCCTCACCCACTGAATGGAAGCCAACAACTGCATGGAAGTTGCCAAATTTGCGCAGCTTTGATGTGGTGTATACCTTGAATTACAAAGTAAAAAAAAAATTACAGTTAAATCAATTCTTTAGATGAACCACGTCTATTAAAAGTTAAATATTTAAAAAAAAAATGTATAAAACAAAACATTAATTGATAGTTTTTAGTATTGGAAATATTTAATTTTTTTAATATATTTAATTTATTGTAGCTGCTCGGTCAATGACAGTTATTTTAGTTATTTTACCACTTGTCCGTTCTTGTAAAATGTCACAGTCTGTTCCTCAAAGTTGAGTTCACATTTCATGATGTCCCCTTTGGTACACGTTGAAGCATGTGCACTGGCCCAGCCAGCACCAGCAAATATTCTGCCCAGATTTTTAAAATTAAAACATTGAGAAGCCATTTTCTTTTTATAAAATGTAAATACATAAAAAAAATGTGAATAATATTTATGTGGCATACTTTTTCAATATAACATGTTAAAATGAAAAAATGATGAAAAAAAAATTGTAGAATACTAAGTTGTTTTACATGGCTTTTATATAATTTAGGGGATATGCTCTGTTTTTTACAAGACGATTGTAAGCTTTGGGTGTTTCCGGGATGATGGAAATTAAGATTATCAAATACATGAGAAATCCAACTTTCCAATGATGCCAAATACAATATGATGACGGATATAAAACTTTTCATAGAGAGCGTGTAAGATTGGGAAAAATTGATTATTTTTACTTTCTCGTATATACGTAGTATAGAGAAAGTATTGTAATCGTGCAAAAAAAAAAATCGAGATTTTTACAAATCTCGACGTTTTACACCTCACTGATACGGAAAAACATAATTTTGCAATCTTGTCCGTATGTCTGTGTGTGTGTGTGTCTGTCTGTGTGTGTGTCTGTCCGTGTGTAAACACGATAACTTGAGTACCGTTACAGCTAGGTTGATGAAATTTCATATATAAGTATTATATTAAAATCGTAGATCCGTATCAACTTTTGAGCGATTTCCGACAACCGGAAGTGGTACTTTTTCTACTTTGAATTTTTCAAAAGCCTATAACTTGAGTACTATTTCAGATAGATAAATGAAATTTCACATGAAAGTAAAAGATCTAATTTTCTACCTTCTGTTAAATTTTGAGTAATTTCCGTTGACTGGAAGTAGTAATTTACGCTACTTCCGATTTCTCAAAAAACTAATGTAAATTTTTAAAGTACTAATACTATTGCGCACCATTATACACACCTTTATTAGGCGTTCGCTTGGTGCGCAATTGTTTTTTACTGAGATTCTATTCTATTTTTAAAAGTTTCAGTATTTAAAATGGATTAAAAATCATAACTATATCCCCAGTTACCATCCCCTGTTGTTTTATATAAGAATATTCGAGAAAGTTTAGGGGAGATCACTACCAGTTTATTTAATTAATAGGTCATAAAAATAGTAGTTTAAACACATTCAATTTTTTTTCTCATTAAAGTTATTATTTTCTTAATACAAAAAATGGACATAGTATCCAAAAGTGCAAGAAACCCATCATGACGAAAAACAAGAAATTTAGTGATTTTTTACGGCGCATATCCCCTTAAATAATAATAAAACAAATTAATAAAAATAATAAATATAATATTTTACTCTAATGTTGAATCACATAATCTCTTAAATGAACATGTTGAGGTCACATAAACAGATGAAATAGACTGTCAGGTTTGAAAGAGTATTTTACAGACACAAACATGTACTAGGCAACACGCCTTAACCCCTTACCCTCCATCGTCTGCATGATAACCAAGAGAACCAGAATCCCACCCAGGTTGTCTGTCTGGGGCGTATCTCTTATGGCACAAGCCAATGGCAATGTAGCAGTGTTTGCCAGGGTTAACAATCTCTGTTGATATTTCATTATTTATTTATTGTTTACATCTCCAATTGTCTAGTTAAAATATAGTCTTCTGATACAGCACTGCAGAGAGACCAACAGACACATTTTAAAAGGGATGAGGGGGTCAGTGTGTGGTAAAGGTCATAGTTGCTAAATCAAAAAGTCAAAAGTTCGAATCCCTAGGCAAATGAGGCTTGATAACTGGAGACAGAAATTCATTCAAGAGAAAACTCCAAAATCAAACAACAGCTGCCTGTAGTGTGATCTTGGAAGGGCAAAGGCTATCGTAGCAAATCCAAAAATAAAAGCAGGCTGAAATTGAAGTCAAGGACCAATATGGTGATTTGCAGGTTGAAACATAATATTTAATTGTATTGGAGGAAATACCATCTATCATTAGAAGTAAGAACAAAGGAGAAGAAAAAACAAGGGATGAAACAGTTAAAGTTCTAGAGATTTAAGTATTTTCTTACCAGCTCGACTCAGTATGATCAATTAGATATCTCAATCAAATTTTGTAGAATATTACTGAATATTGTTTTATCATTTACTATCTAAACACAAAATGATTAATACATTTATTTTCCTAACAGTTTAATGTTTAACAGTACAAAATAATTGCTTACCAAAAGAAAATGAATTGCATTCAGGAGTGAGAGCTGAGGCACTTATGAACTGGCCAACAGGGACAGCAGGTGAACTGCTGGTGTAGCTGTGAAGTTGAATTGAACTTGCTGGTTAATTAAAAACTTTCAAAATTATTTGAAACAAAATTGTTTTAAAAATATTGAGATTTAACTAAAAATAGTTCAAATTGAATGTTTTACCTATAACTAGAATATTGTAATTAAAAACATGATATTCAATTTCTATTACGTTTATTAAACATTAAGTCAAAAAAAAAATATAAATATTTTCATTACGTTCAATTTATTATAAATAAGAGCAAACTACTGTTGATTGCTTTAGAATTACCAAAGTCATTTTCTTGTCTTGAAATTATTATTATTGTATTAGAATAAACATTAAAAATCACAGGAATAACAGTAATATAATAACCTTTGATATTGCTATAACATAAATCTATGAATAGATCAAATGTAAAGTTGTTTTTGGTACAAATATTAAAATTTAGTAATGTAAAATATAAATCACAAAACAACAAATAAACATTAACAAAAAAATAAAACACATAAGCCCCAACTACAGTAAAAATGTAAGCCCTTTTCTCAACAGAACGGTAAAACCTTACGCCACAATTCCAGTATCATGCCACACAGTAGACTCCCTGCATATACAGGTGAAGTAGTGTGGGACAATTTCATCCTGAGACTCCTCTTCTTCCAGGACCAATTTCTTAGGATCTCGCTGTAACAGAGTAAAAGTTATATGTATGTTCATAACCTTTCTTAAGTACAACTTAAGACAACTTACTAGTACAATTCTAATTTTTCACAGACTCATATTGTTTAAGTGACATGTACAAAAACTTCTAAAACTAATTTAATCTAACTATAAGATCTAATAAAAAGTTTTAATTTAAATGAAAAATTGAAATAGTTCACAAACTGTAGCTGAAAACATCATAGTAATATTTTTATTCTTTTAGGCAGTTGATTTATATGTGGAAATTAATAGTCTTGACTCAGTTATGTATCTAATTTTTTTTTCTGCTTTAAAAAACACATACATAAACCAGCCAACTATTATTCGCTATTTATAAAAAGTTTATTCGTTTTTTTGCAAACTTTGTTAAGTAAAAATTTAAATTGAAAAACATAAATAATTAAAACATAATTGTATTAAAAAAAACTGTATGGATAAAAGTAATAAAATGGCTTGAGAAAGTGAAAAAAATGAAAATTGTCTTTGACCAACAAAACTCAACACTGTTTTACCAAGTGCATCTATGGAAATCTATAAAATGTACAATCATACACTTTTATTTATTTACAAAAAAAAGTGTTTTAACATATTTTAATAATGAAAGACCTAATTGATATAAAGACTTAACTAATTTAACTATTTTACATGAATTCAATACATACAGTTATGGTGATATATAAATTGCAAAATGAAAACTGAACTTACTTTGATAGGTTCCAGTTTTATTGTGACAGTGTCACCTTGATCAAAAGTCATCAGTTTTGAATCATCAGACTGAAAATTCATACAAATTATTTTTATAGTTTTAACATGCAGTCATGTTTAGTTACAAATGCTGATAAATACAATCAATCATTAAACTGTCAAGTAAACATAAATGCCGAACTGTACACTAATTGAACAATTACAATTTATGAGTAAATAGTGTTTTACTAATTACTAATGATATTTATCTGTAAACTGCAACAGTAAAATTAAACCCAAAAGATTTGGCTTAATAAAAAGATATATTTTAAGTTTATAGGTTCCTCGTAAAGGTACTTATATTCAACATATAAACTTTTCAAGGTTGAAAATAAAGTAGATAGTGTTATTTTTCTTTTGTGTTCTCAATGGGATGTTAACTTGTTATGCGCCTTTTAGGCAGTGAGCTCCAATTTTAGCATGCTTCTGTTTCTATATTTGCTCCCATAGCCCTAGCCCATCAAAGAACAAATGACAAGGCAGCAGCTGTTTTATTTTGGAGTTTTCTTTCCTCGATGGGTAGCCGTACCCAGCTATTGAGCCTCATCTGCCCGGGTTTTGAACTCAGAACATTTCGGCTTAGCAACCATATACTTTACGAACCCGATCACGCAGACTCCCTATAATTTTTATTTTTTTAAATTTAATTTTCTAACCATAATGAACTTTTCCCTTTTATTATTTGATAATTGATACTCACGTTTTGGGACCACTTATTCATGTCGGCCTCAAGACTTTTCTGGTCAGGAAACTCAACAGCCTCAAATGGGAACATCTTGGTCAAAACACCCACATGATCTGATGACGACCCATGGCCTGTACTCCTACACATGAGCATTGTGATCAACTTGTTAGTATCAGAATAGTAAAAATACTTACACAAGAGACCTATACCATATTAATAAAAATATTTATTTTTCGAAAATTATAGTAAAAAATAGTAATCAGTATTATGGACTTGGTATACATGCAAGTGACAATGGTAGAGTATAATAATAAATTTATTTCTTTAAGGAAATATCAAGATGTGAAAGTTTAAATCTTTTAGTTTAGTTCAGAGATCCTATGATAATATAACAACATACACTTTTAAGCAAATAGGTGTCTGGTTTGCACCAAGGTTAGTTATGTCCACTTCATCATATGTTGTTGCTTGGATGGGTATGTAAGGGCTGCTCCTCATTTTACCATAGCTGGCTACCTCTAAATTTGGACGTAGATAGGAGCGGATGGTCTGCAAATGTACAATATGTTTTCATTTTTAAAAAATATTAACTTAATTTCGTTTTAAATTAAAATACAGGGATTAAATAATGAATACAATTTTTGTTTTAAATAAACTACTTTTTTTTAAAACAATTATATTTTATTAAGTTTTGTTTTTTAAAATAGATTTTAAAATGTCAAAAAGCTATTTACAATTTATAAGTTCATTGATCATTTGTATTCCAGTTAAATATAGAAAATAAAACTATAGTATAAAATCTTTTGATTGTGTAAATTAACTAATCAAATTATAACTAACCCACAAAAGTTCAGCACAATTTTGACAGATACCACAATCAGCACAACCAGTTACATTGGTGTCACAGCCACACTGATGCTGGTACTCTCCCCCTACACCATTATATTCACAGTAACGTCCCTTTTCACAACACTTCCCACACAGTGTGCACAAGGTCTGCCTGTAGTCATCATCTGATAGGTCCCAGTGGTGGATGCAGCCAATGGAGTTATTAACTAGAGATAAACATTTACATCAGGTCTTTAGATTATAGGTGTAGATATATTTTTGTACATTTTACATTTAAAACAACACAATAACTATAATTTAGAATTTTAGATTTATTTGCAAAAATGATACATTTAAAAAAAACAATTTTTTAAATCTTCAAAAATTTTTTTTAATTTACAGGCTGTATTTTAAAACATATTCATATTTATTATTTAAGTATTGGAAATGATACTCAATGTTTTTTTTAAATGTCTTACAATTTGTAGTCAATAACCGTTTGTAATTTTTATATGTGAAATTGTTTAAAATTTAAATAAGTTTAATTGACAAATTCATTGCTCATAGTAAATTTTTATCATAAAAATGTTTTCATTTGCTATTTGTGGTTTAATGAAACTGATACACAAAGTTAAATTTTTGAAAATTAAAAAATTGCTTTATAAAGATTTAAAAATTATTCAGCTAAAATAATAGTCAATAAATATTACATTCACTGCAACTACTAAGAATGAATTTTCATTTCAATTAACAATACAAAAAAACTATACTATTTATAAAAGCAAAACCACTACATACCCATGTTGTACGGTATCTTCTCATTGTGTAAAGCTTTAATTCTCAACCTCATTATAAGGAGATCAATGGTGTCAGTAAACAGGCTGTAGATGTTGAAGGCATACTCCTGTACGTGGAACAGTGTGTCGTAGTTGATACGGTCTGATTCTCTGGATGATGGCGGCATGAAGCAGCGCGTCTCAACCCTCAGTCCCTGCTCTGTTGCAAGAATATCACAATACACTGAGCTCTAAAAGATTATGATATATTTGCAGTAAAAATGTTTTAATTTATACTGTAGCAACAATGTTCCCAACTGTATGGCATGGTCATATGGGATGCTAGAGCTTATTACTGCTGAATGGAAAGTTTCTAGTTCAGATCCTGGGCATAAGTCGCTGCTTGTCCCTAAGTCTACACAGTTCTGATTGGTGCCTGATTTACATTAGGGAAATAAAACAGCTGGACCACACCATTCCCAAGTGTGGTGGAATCACTGAAATGAATGACCTCAACTTTATCAGCATGTGTGTTTGGCAGGAATAGGATAAAAAGAAAAGCAATATTTCCAGGAACAAATCATATACCCAATACTTTTCACAGTACAAGCATTATTTCTACATCATCTACAAGGAGGCTGGGTATAGTGCTGACCACTCTATCCCTGCACATGTAGAGGTCACAGAAATAGTTGAACTCTACTTCACTTGCCCCATGGACTGTCAGGTTCAAAATGGGAACTTTACTTTTTGACTATAATTACTTCATACTATGGCTAAAAGAAAGATAAAGAAACTTTAATTTATCATGAATGTACTTGAAAAACAAGAAATTAACTCTTACAAAGAAGAAGTTACAAAAGATTAAATATATTTCCTACCTCCTTGAACAAAGATGACAGTCTGAGCAGCTCCACTTTGGAAAACAGACCAGTCTTGTCCAATGACCAGAGGCTTTGAGAAAGCTAAGCACCTTGCAACAATCATAGAGAGCATGTTTGCAGGGGAGCTGTGCAAGAACTGGTACTCTCGTTCTATCAGAACAATGTTGTTTTTTGTTGATTGGATGAAGTCAAACTGAAAAAACCAACTCATTTTTTGTAGAGAAAAACAACGATGTTTTTATCAAAAAAAAAAAAAAAGGGTAATGTCTTTCAGCTTAGAAGAAAAACATGTTTACAAGAAGATTAAATGTTATCTTTAAATAAACCATCCAATGTTTTACCAGTTGAACAGGAAGTGATCCAATGGATTTGGTTGTACAGTAGCAAAACATAGGGCTGTTAGCAAGGTTAGTTTTGCTTCCATTTCCATTATCACGGAAACGTGGAACCTCAATGACTCCCATAAAGACCAGAACATGACTTAAAATATCTTTCTGAAATAAAAATAAAAAATATGACTTAAAATATCTTTCTGAAATAAAAAATATGACTTAAAATATCTTTCTGAAATAAAAATCAGAACATGACTTAAAATATCTTTCTGAAATAAAAATCAGCATATGATTTTAAATATCTTTCTGAAATGAAAATCAGCACTTGACATAAATATCTTTTTGGAATATGAATAGCCTAGTAGCTTGAAATATCCTAGCACATTTAGCCTATAAATTCCCTCATGACTTATAATCTTTCTTCTTCTTCTTCTTCGTTCTTAATTATTAGTGTTGAAGGGGATTGAGAATTATCTGTCAGTGCGTTTGAACTCGAGACTTTGTTCAAATTTATCAACCATGAGCTTTTTGCCGACTCGACCACGCCTCCAACACAATTAAGCGTTACGTGTCAACTGGTTATGCGCCATTGAAGCCATTGACTCCGATTTCAGCCTGCTTTTCTTTTTGGATTTGCTTCCATAGCCTTTGTCCAACCAAGAACAAACTACAAGGCAGCAGTTGTTTAATTTTGGAGTTGTCTCTCCTAGAAGAGTGGCTGTCCCCAGCTAACGAGCCTCATCTGCCCAGGGGTTCGAACTCTAGACTTTTCGGTTTAGCAACCATGAGCTTTACCGACTCGACCACGCCGACCACATGACTTATAATGACTCTACAACAATAATTAAAGTTAGAATAAAGCAAATAAAATACATTTTATATTTCGGTTTAACATTTAACAAATGCAGATGATAATACATACTTTGGCTTGTGAAAATGTTTCTACTTCAGGTACTATCTCAGAGATACTGTGCCAGATATGTGTCTCCTCTCCTATACAAGTTGCTGTTGAGCCTGACAGTTTATCTGGCAGGATCATTGATGAATTGACCAGATTTTTGGCAAACTGTATGTCTATGGCCACTGTGGTTCTTTTCATTGGCACCCAAAATAATCGACCCTAAATAAGTGATTTGTATTTAATAAAAATGATAAGAAACATACATTGTAAATGAGATTCTTTAGAATAATAAAGGTCCCATAGAGTCTACAAACTGGACATAAATAAATAATGCAAATTATTTTTAAAAACCTGTTTATTTCTAAAAATTATGTGTGGCTGAAATCTTAAAATGTAATTTGTCTCATGGCAACATATAGCTTTCAGTAAAGATGTGCTTACGTTGCTTTATATTTACAATGTCAAAATTTTGAATGCCGTAAAATCAACATTATATGGTCTTAAAATTCTTATGGTGTATATATATATATATATATATATATATATATATATATATATATATATACATATATATATATATATATATACATATATATATATATATATACATATATATATATATATATATATAGGTTTATATAAATATTAATATATATATGAACATTAAAAGTTTGAACACGTTGTATTACCTAGACAATAAGTTACCTTAGTTTGCAGGTAGCGAACAGCAGCCTCATAGACTCGACCATTTGGTCCCAGCGTGTCTGACACCAGGTTGTACAGTTGGTCAGCTGCCATCAGCTTCTCTTTGGCCAGAGTGTCGGAGATCTTCTTCAGGCCGGTAGCAATGGTGTCATGGAGATCGTAATATTTCCTGTGATAGCTGAGGTCAGTCTCGCAAACCTCCACAATATGGTCACAGAGTGCTTGATGGTCCTGAGATATTTTTACAAACGTAACAGTTTTTTAAAAATTGATAAAAGAAATTTGATTAAAACATTTTAATAGTTTTTCTGTATTTATAAACATAATGGTGTGGTCAGGTAGTAGAGCACATGAGTTCGGATCCTTAGCTTGTGTACACAGCTCTCCCAACTCTGATGGATACATTACAAAAGTTTGCAAAAGTAAATGCTTCTTTGCCTAGAACTGACAAAATTATAATATTATATGCCAAGGTTACAGAAACAGATTAACTCTACTTCATCTGCTCTATGAACTGCCAGGTTTGAATGAGTAACTTAAGTATATAACTAAATGGTTTTCATTATAAAACTATGCCTGATAACATTCATTTTTACAGTGTAGATATACATTTTAAAATTTTGAACAAGAACAGGCTAAATGACCTTGTCAGATGAAAGATCAACAGCCATAAATTTGAGTCTTGATTTATTGCCCATAAAGCGTTCAAGACACTCTTTCTGCCAAGCCAGTTGTCCATAGAGCTGCTGCCCTTGCAGGTCCATCAGTTTGGGGTTGCTGCAAAGGAAGTGGTAGATTTGATTACAATTTCTAATACTATTTAGCTAAAGTTTAAGAAAAAAGAATGACAGTGGTATTTTCTAGATTTAATGGCTTATGCATTGAGGAGTTTTAAAATTTAAATATGTTATTTTCCACAGTCAAATTTAAGTATATTGTAACCTTTTTAAAGAAAGTAAATAAAAATATTTTTCCTCAAAGCGGTTTCAAATATTCTAAAATGAATTTTAATAATGTCTAAACTTTAGAAATTAATGTATCTTTAGCTTCATATTAACAATGCAAGCACATAATATGTAACAGCTGTTGATAAAACCATGCACTACAGCGTGAATTAAGCTAATACCAAGTAGCAGCTGTTTATAAAATCATACGCCAACATGTGTATCAAGCACATATTATGTAACAGCCGTTGAAACAAATCATACCCCAACACAAGTATCAAGTGCATATTATGTAACAGCTGTTGATAAAAATTATGCACCACCACAAGTATCAAGCACATATCATGTAACAGCTGTTGTAAACAATCATACACCACCACGTGTATCTACCCACCTCTCCATCATCTGCATGTGCTGCTCTATGAGGGATAGAGCAGGGAACTCCAGAGCTCCACCAAGAGCCTCCTGCAGTAGCTGTAGCTTTCCTTTCACCTGGGCGCCATCTGTCTCAATGCCAACAATGGTAAACTTGCAGCCTTCAACAAAATCATCTTGAACTTTTTGTGTTTCCTGGTTTAAATAAGTGAATGCTGTTTCACTAATTCATTCTTACACTCCAAGATTGGTTAGTGTAAAAATTTTTTTTTTAAATATTGAGTTTGGGGATTTAATATAATTATATCCTATTATTTCTATTTGGAATAATTAATTAGATTGAAGTGGTTTTTATTTTTTAAAAATGGACACCCTATAAAACTTAAGTGCAATTTTGCTTCTTGTAATGAAAACCTGGTCTACTGCCAAGCAGTTACAGATACACTCAGCCAGGGCTAACCAGCCAATCAGAATAGCAGTGATCAGATAATTTTCCAAAAAAAATTACTTCATATTTGTTCCTGACAATTTGACATTTAAAAATGTTCACTGTATTTCATTAATTTATTACAAAAAAGATTTTAAAATATGAATGATTTTAAATTTTCCCCAAAAAAAAAAAAAACTAAAAAAATTCATATATTTGGTCCTGTCAATTTTATATTTAACCATTTTCCCTATTTTTAATTTGTTTATTACAAACAGATTTTAAAATTTGAATGATTTTATTTTTTAGACTGTGACTTGATTTCATGCTGAAATGTTACTGTAGCAACACATTTAACAAACGACAGTTGACCTTTACCTTGCTATCTTTCACCACCAGGTCCCCAGTCTCAGAGCCGTGGTAGTAGTTACGTAACATCACCTTATCCCCCTCATAGTGGAGATTGACAGCAGGGTAAATCCCATCTGACAGGTACTCAAATTCAAATTCATGGACCTGATTATGCAACAGGTAGATATATAAATTGATAAGCGTGAGTTAAAAGAAATTTAAATTGATCAGAGAGAGGTGTCTGTAATTAAATATATGTGTATTGTCTGTTATTGAGTCTCATGTTCCAGGTTTTAACATCTTCAGTGTTAAAATAATCAAGGTTGTTTGAGATACTAATATATAATTTCTTAAGGTGTTAAAAAAGGTTATAGTTGGATGGGAGTACTAAGATATAATTTCTTAAGGGGTTAAAAAAGTTATAGTTGGATGGAACTAAAACAGTTTCTAATGGGAAGGTGTTGCCTAGAAGTAGGGTGCTAGTCTTCTAACCAAAAAGTCTTGAGTTTGAAACCGGGTTCAAGTCAGTAGTATGTCCTATTGAACTCATGATACCGTTTTTTTTTGGCTAAAATCTTATATCTCTGTGCTTTGGCAGACAGATAAATTGGTGTGAGACACCTTACCTCCCATCTAGGGTCCGTATATAAATATGTGATATTAAAAAAGTACATAACTAGTAATGTTCGACTCATGGGAAGTTCCTGTCATGGCTACGTTCTGCTTATCATTTGCAATTTATAATGAAAAGACGATTTTAAAATTCTGATAATCTGCTTTCTACTTATGTCCTCACCTAAAAATGTCTGAAAGAGGGGTCTACATGCTGGGAGGACTAGTATACTAAGTCAAATTATTGGTGGTAATCTTTATTTTTTTATTGAAAGTTTGATGTGTGTGTATTTTGCTAAGAGTTAAAGGGTTGTGTTAAAATAGTATTAGTCGGATGGAAATACTAATACAGTTCCTTAAGTGTTAAAATAGTCATACTTAAGTGGGACTACTAATACACTATTTAAGGTGTTTATAATAGCCATATTTGGGTAGGACTACTGATACACAAATGAAGTGTTAAAATAGTCATACATGGTAGTGGCTATTAGTAGGCTACATAATTTCTCAGTAACTCTGTGCTTTTAATATTGCAACAACCTACTTTAACACCATTTTTCTTGAAGTAAAACTTGAGCGTCTGCTGATTTTTTAAAGTTCCATCTTCCCTGAATTTGGCAGTCGTCTCATCCAGCCAACAGCCAACAACATCGCCATTTCCAAAGGTCGTAGGGTCACTGGTGAGTTTACTTGGTTTTCCAGAAGAAGAGTTGTTGTACAGCCTATAGAAGCATATTTCAGATGTCAAACTGTCCTTATACTATGAGAGTTAGTTGCATTTGCATTCAAAACAAACAAATAATGTAGTGATATTATCTGTATTTGCTATAAGTTGTACTGTATTCATTGGTTGTTTATCTAAAATATACACAATAAGAATTCAGGAGGGGCAGAAATAAAAAAAAATAAAAGATTAAAAAAATGATTTTGGTAACATTGTTCTAAAACACCATGATCAGATATAATAACCATATTCCCAAATACTGGCCTTATTCTTGTTTACATGATTTTAACTGTCTTTATGGCTAGTAGTTTAATGTATGGTGTCATAGCGTTCACATATGGGTCACGATTAAACTTAGCTAACTTACTGTCCATTATCTGCATGGTACCCAACAGAGCCTTGATGCCATCCCACCATGTTGTTGACTAGGTAGAATCTCTCAGCAAAGCCAATGGCTGCATGCTGCTGACTGCCCAGATTTAGCACCTCAATCTCAAAATGTGTCAAATGCTTGCTGAATGGGGTTTTGGACATGTACAGGCCAAACCAGTTGCGCTCATCAAATTTTCTGTTGGTTGAAGGGTTACCAAAATAAAAAATAGCACATTCAAATTAAAAAATATTTATTAAACAGCAATGGAGTATTATTTTTTTTCTTTTTAACATCTATATATATAATTCTCTTCTTCGAGCCGTTAGAAAACAAGCTGCAAACGCTCTCCCTACCTCCCCACCCCTACATGGTTTTAGTGAGCTGTGTTCACTCTAAATGTTTACAAGCAGAGCCAACGATTTTAAACGTAGGGGGGGGGAGGAGGGGGGGAGGGAAGGAAGGGGGGGGGGATTATGGTCCTTAACGAGCTACTTATAGTGTTTTAAAGAAATATTTTCAGTGTCAGCGTTGGTACTGTCGAATTCACAAATTATGAATTATTGAAAATTAGAAACAACTAAATAGCGGCGTATGTTATGCCGCGGGCCGGCTCGTATCTGTATAATTATTGCAAAAACAAGCTGTATTTTATAAATAAAACAGCAATGAAACAGAAAGCACACATTTTATCCATATCAATCCATCCCTGTAGCTCTACAGCCCATGGAAGACTTTGGTTTGCTTGACCACTATTTTCCATTTGCTATCTACTTGTTCTATGTCTGGACACCAACATGACATATGTCATTCTTAATGTCATCAAGCCATCTCAGCTTAGGCCTGTCTTTTGGTATTTTTCCTATGTTTTTGTTTTGTATTTCCTTCACCCCTCTAGTGTTCTGCATTCATTTCAGATGACCTAACCATCTTAGTCTTTCTTTTTTTATTTTATCTCTGCCACTATTGTAGGGTACATGCATATGTCCTACATCTGTTGGTAGGTTCTCATCATAAGCTGGTTTACATATGTTGGTAGGTTCAAATCTCTACCATTCTCGTCATAAGCTGGTTTACATATGTTGGTAGGTTCAAATCTCTACCATTCTCGTCATAAGCTGGTTTACATATGTTGGTAGGTTCAAATCTCTACCATTCTCATCATAAGCTGGTTAACATATGTTGGTAGGTTCAAATCTCTAACCATTCTCATCATAAGCTGGTTTACATATGTTGGTAGGTTCAAATCTCTACCATTCTCGTCATAAGCTGGTTTACATATGTTGGTAGGTTCAAATCTCTACCATTCTCATCATAAGCTGGTTAACATATGTTGGTAGGTTCAAATCTCTAACCATTCTCATCATAAGCTGGTTTACATATTAACTGAAGGGTTATCCTCTCCCGTGAGTTTAATAATAATGATTTCTATTGTTTTTTTTATGTGTCCAGTTTCACTGGATAACTTAAAACTGGTCAAATTATTATTTTATAAATTATTTATTTTGTATTATACATTTTTATACAATAAATTATCAAATTAAAAATTTTTAAAAACAAATAAACAAAAGTTATTATTCATAGTAAGTAATTTGACATTTATAAAATGGATTACAAAATTAAATTTCAAACAAATTGGTGAAAAGTAAGAGTAAAGTAATGCAGGCCAACCTGTATGAGAGCTTTCCGTCATCCATGATTTTCATGAAATTAGCACGCCCCATTGTCAGCATGTCCATTCTAGGGGGCTGAAAATCAAAGGTATAATTTTCTATAGCATGTCATGACATATCATTATTGGGAAATGTAGCATTCTTTTCATCATTATAGTCCAATACAAATATTTTCCAAATGAAGCTTATTTAGTATTAATAAACTTTACATAAATTTTCAATGTTTTTAATAACAAAGTTTTATCTTAGTTTATACATTAGACTAGTTTTTTAATTCTTTAAGCCCGTAATTATTTTCACGTTTTACAGGAATTATTTTTTTTCACTCCTTTTTTTCAGTACCCCTGTGGCTAAATGACCTATATCTTTTTACCCGTTCATTTAAACCCCACACATTATTGATAAAAATGAATCGTAATTGAATGCCCTACACACTGATATAAAATTTAAGTAATTATTTATTTATTGAAGAAAGATAATTACTTAGTTTTAAAGAAGAAAAAATAAAGAATTGATTTTTTTCGGGCTAAAATTACGCTTCTGTCGGGAAAATTAATAATAGGCATTCATTTTCATGAGTTCTTATTCACAGAAAACGAAAGTACGTTCATTTTTTTACAAAAATCATGGATCGGATTAGTCTTAGTACAAATACTTTAATTTTGGTTAGTTTTATAATGCGACGACGTAAACGTTTAGAAGCTGCCGCTGAACGGCATTCCGCAGTGTTTAAAAAATGCCTTTTTTCAAGTTGTTTTACAAAAAAATTTCTATAAAATACAAAATCAACCTAATGAGAAAACTACAAGAAGTAAATACAACAAAAAATGGCCCCTCTAGTGTTATCATGACCTAGATTTACGATTAAAAACTTGGGTTCTGAAAAACAACAAATTAAATCTATAAAATTTTATCGAACGCTGGGAGCGTCGTTACGGTGTGGCAGGCCGGCGGATTGACTGCTGGGAGCGTCATTATGGTCTTAAAGAGTTAAAAGCAGCTTATATATATATATATATATATATATATATATATATATATATATATATATATATATATATATATATATATATATATATATACATATAAATATATTTATATATATATACACACACACGCGTATATATGTACATATATTTTCAATGTTTTACATTTACTTTCTAAATTATAGTAATCTTAATACAAGCAGCTCATAAAATATAAAGATTTGCTATTCGCAACAAGAAAAAATGTAACAAAAGAAACTCACAGGTAAAACATATGGCTGACGAAAGTTCATGATTTGTAGTTTTGTACCTTTTACTCTCATTCCAACCATAAACACAAAACGAATTCCTTTCTTTACATTGGTCATTCTTGTTTTGACATTGGAGATCTGCCAAAAACAACATTGTCTACATTAAAGCAGTTTTTAAATAATTCTGTTTTTTGCTCAAAATATAACTAAATGGAACTAAAGTTAAATAAGTACCATAGAAATACCACTTTACAGTTGAATATGTTTGAATACAAATAATCAAAGGAATAGCAGTTAACAGCTGAGCACAGTTAACTGACAATTGTCAAAGAAATGGCACTAACCAGCTGACCATTCAGCGAGAAGATAGCCTCAACCTCTTCACCCGATTGGATACTGTTTGATTCCCCAGGGATGTTGACCACCACGGTTATCTCATCGCCATTCTGCCATTGTCGTATCACACCGGTGGATGGGTTGGTTCCCGAACCACTTTGAATGTACAACCTGTATGATAAAAAAATAAATGTTAAAAGAGTAAAAAGTAAAGTACCCGTTCAAACCCAATGGTCCGTTAAGCAGGTGAAGTAGAGTTCAGCTGTTGAAGTGACTCTGGCATTTAAACTGAGTGTCATCAAATAAATGTAGCCAGAGACAAATTTAAAAAGAAACCAGTCTATATTTTTGTCCATCTGCCAATCTGACCTTTACCATATAGTTCTGTATGCATATAATTCACATGCGTTTATTGGAAAGAGATAAAAATAATCAATGTTTTTATAAACATAAGATAGATTGTTAAAAAACAAAGTAAAAATTTGCCAGAATCCAAGGAAAAGTGAAAAGAGCTTTCTGTGGTGGCACAACCACATGTGTTCTGGGTACTGAACGGAAAAAATGATGATGGTGTCTTAATGTGGTATTCAAAGATGATGATGATGTCTTAATGTGGTAATCAAAGATGTCTTAATGTGGTAATGAAAGATGATGATGCTGTCTTAATGTGGTATTCAAAGATGATGATGATGTCTTGATGGGGTAATCGAAGATGATGATGATATTTTAATGTGGTAATCAACGATGATGATGATGACTTAATGTAATCAAAGATGGTGATGATGGTGTCTTAATGTGGTAATTAAAGATGATGTTTTTAGTGTGTTAATAAAAAATGATGATGTTTTAATGTTTTAATCAAAGATGATGATTTCTTAGTGTGTTAATCGAAGATGATGATGTTTTAATGTGGTAATCAAAGATGTTGATGATGTGGTAATCAAAGAAATAGTGTGACAAAAGGGTGACCAACCTTCCCTCTATGGGGTAAAGGCAGTTTATTTTGTATGCGAAGTGTTCTCAAAGTTAATAACAAGGGTATTTTACAAAATGACTGCGATGTGGGTTAAAAACTACTGCACAGATTAGAGGGAACATTAGCTGTGACTACAATAGGAATGTCCCTGAGTCCACCCAGCTGTAATGAGTACCTAATTCACAAAATGACATTTTGATATCTATTTTAGTAAAAACCAATCATTGCTATTTGAGGCTAAGTACTCAAAGTGGGATGGGAACTGCATGGTCAGGTTAGGGAGGACATAAGTGTTAAGCTATAAGCCCTGAGTTCAGACCCTGTGTTAAGTATGAGTCAACAGGCTTTACGCAACATATTATGTTGACATGTAATACTTAATAACAAGAACAAAGAAGAAGTTCCCAGGGAGGAAAGATATTGTTAGCTAGTATACCCACCCCAGTAGTGACTATAATTTTAACACTCTCTGTGGCACAAACAAAAACTAGGCTGATAACCAAAAAATTAAGCAGTTAGCTTAAATATCTTTCTTGTACTTACAGTCCATCATCGGCATGGTAACCAACTGAATGCTTCTCCCAGCCTGGGTGGCGATTGGTTGGGTAATCTTCAGTACCAAAGCCCATGCTTATAACACCATTTGCACCCCTTTCAATAACTTTAATGGTGAAAGTATTGTGCTCCCTAGTTATCTGCTCTTGGAATAGTAATACCCCTCTTTCATCAGATGATGAGTAGGTGTCCACATAGCTATTTTACAATATAATAAATAAAAATAAATAAATGAATATATATATATATATATATATATATATATATATATATATATATATATATATATATATATATATATATATATATATATATATATATATATATATATATTAAAATATATCTATATACTAGACATATATATATAAACATAGTCTCATACCCATTTAAATATAACTTAAAACTACCATAGTGATAAAAAATCCAATTATAACATATCGTGAGCTAACTTATTTATCTAATGAAATCTTTATGAAATTCTATTCACTATAACGTAAAATAGCGATATAATAAATAATAATTAGCACCAATGCAGCTTTTAAATAAAAAATCCTGCATTTTGAATTATGATATTATCTAACATTTTTATATCTTCGGTCTGGTTTTTATCTGTTAAGGATAAATCAAGACCAAATTAGGACAAAAAAAAATGGTGGAAATTAGACACTCGCACAAAAAGCCAATAAAATATTTGAAAATTTGAAAACAATGTTTTTCTATGACAAACAACAAACAAGGACCATTCATTCATAGAAACCAAACAGTTTTCGACATTTATATAAATATAAACAGACATACAAACATATATACACACATATACACACACACATAAATATATATATATATAGACCTATATATATATATATATATATATATATATATATATATATATATATATATATATATATATATGGATATAATATGTATATAATATATATATAATTAAACAAAAGATTTTTTTTTAAAGAAATATTAAACAATTTTCTAAGATAAAGATAAAATATTTATTGGAAAAGTAAAATTTCACATTCTCCTTAGCATGAATGTTAAATAAACTGACCTAGCTATCCCTCTGTCATCACACAGAATGTTGTGTCTAAACCCAGGGGTCCAGTACTGCTTTTTGTCATACCACTGGCCTTGGAGTCCCTAAATAGAATTAATTTCGTGATAGTCAATGTTACACAATGTGTATATTATTTTGGAATTAATCGGGTTGTTTCTTCGTAAAAAAAAGAACTAAAATATAATGGTTGTGATATGGATGTCTTATAGAATACAAGTGTTTATAATACACAAGTGTATGTAAATATTTAAATTAAAAAAAATTAGGCTTACCTCTGGGGGGCAGGCCATGTTCAACAATTTTACAGTACAGCCAACATTTTTCCCAATGACTGAAACAAACGGGTACATGCCTGTTTGAGGTTTTTCAGGCATTGTCTTAGTCTGAGGAATGTAATGTATATATTAAGTTTTATCTAATGAAAACAGGATTTGTTTGTTTCACAGAATTTCTTCAAACAGTTGTAGTGAAAATCTGATTTTTTCAATTGTCTATAATTTAGTAGTGTGATAGTTTTTGCAGTTTCTAGTCAGTAGAAACAATTCAACAAAGCAGTTTTAACGTCAAGTCTATCAATCTAAAAGTCAAGATATTGAATTATCTAGTAGTCTTACAGTTCATTGGTTCCCTTGAATCACCCGAAAATTTTATAATCCACTAGTTCACCTGAATCACCCAGTAATCTTATAATCCAATGGTTCTCCTGAACCATCCAGTAATCTTATAATCCAATGGTTCTCCTGAACCATCCAGTAATCTTATAATCCAATGGTTCTCCTGAACCATCCAGTAATCTTATAATCCAATGGTTCTTCTGAACCATCCAGTAATCTTATAATCCAATGGTTCTCCTGAACCATCCAGTAATCTTATAATCCAATGGTTCTCCTGAACCATCCAGTAATCTTATAATCCAATGGTTCTCCTGAACCATCCAGTAATCTTATAATCCAATGGTTCTCCTGAACCATCCAGTAATCTTATAATCCAATGGTTCTCCTGAGCCATCCAGTAATCTTATAATCCAATGGTTCTCCTGAACCATCCAGTAATCTTATAATCCACTGGCTAACCTAAAACAAGGATTAGCATTCTTTGGACTCAGAGCTGAATTACTCAGCTACTGGGAATTGTAGTTTTACTTTTATCCATTGTTCATACGTTAATCATGAATACAAAAGTTAATTATAATGATAAATTTAAAGATTTTTGTTACCGAGGAATGAAGTTAGTGACTTTTAAAACAGTGGGGTAAAGTTTTTTTAAATAAGACCTTGCTTTACCTCAATTCCACCTTTTGTGATGTAAAATACACAGTCATCCCCAGGCACATACTCTGACAACCAAGTCCCTTTGATCCCAAACCCATAGGTGACACTCTCCTCTGTTTCAAATCTTAAAATATAAAAAAAAAACTTCAAAAATAAAGTTTTTAACAAATTTTTGAACTGTCTACTTGTGAACAATAAGAACTTCTGTGCTTGAAAGTAATTTAAGTCTAGAGGATTTAACTACATGCATATAATGCTTAATAGTAGTTTATTTTATTTTGTTGGGAGCTAGAAATTTGCATGAACAATGTGTTCCATTTGTGCAAACATCCTTTCTAGCATTTACCCCTTTTGGGTAAGCAATTATTTAAGAAAGTGGCCTTTGAGCAAGTGTCTTTCAAGTATTTGTAGACCAAAAAAAGTGTAAATCTAGAAGCAGAATAAAGGTTTTTCATTTACAAATTTACCTGCACTGCAGGCAAATCCATGTATCTGTTATGAAAGTGGTTGATTAGAAATGCTCTATTATATTAGAGCTAACTGATCATAGTGTTAACACTTCTGACCTAATGCATGTCAGGTGAGGCTAATTTCAACTTAGCTTCTGCCTGTCAATTGTTCTGTTTATGCAAATACACCCTGAAACTGTCTACCTTTAGCATTAAAATAACACTCTATGCCCAATATTGTATGTTTCACAGCTAAATTTGTAGTGTTTGGTATCTTCATGTTCAATCAAGTAAAGCACCCTACTGATGGAAATACAACTCAACCAGCCACCAGTGATTTCACTAAAACAATCTACTGAAGGAAAGATAACTCACCCATCCAACATTTGTTTCACTATCAGATAAAGCATTAAAAGTCAGATAACTCACCCCTCCACACATCCACCATTGGTTTCATTGACTTCCAGTGGGAACCTCTCTGATGCCACTACGTCATATGTGATACCTATGACTAGGCCTGACTCTAGCTGTGAGGTCAGGCATTGAACCTCGAAGTAGTTATTGGTGCGGCTAAGTGTCCTCTGGGATGCAACAAACCCTATGACGTTTTGATTATCTGATGTGTTACTGCAGCACAGAGAAAGTAATATCCGGATTAGAAAGTGAATGATTATCTGATGTGTTACTGCAGCACAGAGAAAGTAATATCCGGATTAGAAAGTGAATGATTATCTGATGTGTTACTGCAGCACAGAGAAAGTAATATCCGGATTAGAAAGTGAATGATTATCTGATGTGTTACTGCAGCACAGAGAAAGAACATATCCGGATTAGAAAGTGAATAGATCAGATGACTTATGGTTCATCTAATTTCGGGGTGACCTGTTGCCTATCCTATTTGGGCAAATCCCAAAAAGTTATAAATCAAAAGTAGCACTTTGTAGAAAAAAGTGAATGTCCTAAATTTAAAAAATAAAAGTTCTTTTTTTTTAGTTTACAAAATAATGCATCATTTTAACAGATTGCAAAAATGTAAAAATCGTATGTGGTATTTAATAGAGAAAAATGTACATCCTGAATCAAAAGCAATACTTCTTTTTGAGTTTAGAAAATAATGCATTATTTTTTCAGCACCATGAATCATTACTAACAATAGACAGGGCAGATATGTTATCAATCAAAGATAAAAATTAAGTTCTAATAATAAAGCCAGACAATAATCAATGTTCAAAAATTGGCCCTCAAAATACAATGTATCATAAATCAACAAATTAATTAGTTTATTGCTGTTGCTTATACAGTGCTGTAGTTTCCTTAAATAAGATTGGGTTGTTATTATAATTATAAAGATGCCCAACTCTTAATCACAGGTAACTTCACTACAATTAAATTTGAGTGTTTACATTATTCATAAAAAAAATGAAACACAAAAGTTGAAAAAAAAGGAGCCAGTAATTGTTGAAACTGTAAACCATTCACATACCTCAAGGTTCCATCCAAAGATAAGTTGCATTTTGACCAGTATGTTATCTCAAAAAATCCACTGGAACCGACTAAAAGCTTCCTGTTTTTGATGTTTTGTTTTGGATTCAGTTGTTCCTATAAAATAATTGACAGGCGAAAAAAATAACCTCATTTTTAAAATAAAACAGAAGTGATCTCCCCTAAACTTTCCTGTATATTCTTATACAACAGTAAAGAAGGACGGCTTTGCAATTATGCAATTGAAATGTTTTTTTATCTTTTTGTACTTACATTTTTTAATATAATAGAATAGCTTAGAAAAAAGAATTGTGCATCAAGTGCATGCAAAACAAATCTATATATATAATTCTCTTCTGGGAGACGCTAGAAAACAAGCTGTAAGCGCGCTCCCTACCACCCACACTTCTACATGGTCTGGTGAGCTGTGGTTCACGCTAAATGTTTACAAGCAGAGCCGGGTTTAGTGACGACTATTAGGGGCAGATAATTTAGTTTGAAACGATTTTAAACGTAGGGGGGGGGGGGGGGTAACTAAGTGGAGTTTACTTTAACGGAGGGGTGGGGGTTATCGTCCTTAACGAGCTACTTATAGCGTTTTAAAGAAATATGTTTTAAAGAAATATTTTCAGTGGCAGCGTTGGTACTGCCGAATTCACAAATTATGAATTACTGAAAAGTAGAAAAAACAACAACTAAATAGCGGCGTATGATATGCCGCGGGTCGGCTCGTTGTGTATAATAGAGAGGAGAATTAGTACTTTGTAAAGGAAACATTGATTACTTTTGTGAGAAAACAGAAATGGTGTAAAGTTCCAGACATTGAAAATCATTTGATATTTGAGAGAAAAGAAATAAGATCTTATATCTATGTATACAATTTAATCTCCCTGACTGAAATGGTACTCAAATTAACAGTATTTTTTAAACCATAAATAAAGTACTTCTTCTGATTATCGGAGGTCACTCAAAAATTGGAAGTAATTAAAGTATAAGATCTTATATATAAAGTGTCATCTTTCTAACAGAAAAAGCACTTAAGTAAGTGTATTCCCACAAAAATACAGAACATACCACTCATGGTTACATAAAATCATTGAAAAGCTCATAGAAACCTGCACATACAATGTAACAGTTATATTAAAAGTTTTGGCCACCTAACTTAAGTGGTGCTTAGCTATAGGTTATTGGCTTTTGAGAAACCCAGAAGCAAAGTAGCTACCACTTCCAGTTACTGTAAATCCCTCAAAAGTTGTCATAGAACAACTAATTTGATTTAATACTTGTATATGAAATTTCAATCACATAACTTAAACGGTACTCAATTACACAGATGGACAGAAAAAAACACAGACAGACATTTGGACAAAATTGCAAAACTAAGTCTTTCTAATTCAAGGAGGTGTGAAATGGTGAGATTTTTCAATGAAAAATCTCAATTTATGTTTGCACGACTACAATACTTCCTCTATACTCTGTATGCAAGAAAGTCAAAAAAGGATAAATTATACTATTCTGTGGACTGTTAAAATTTTGATGCTAAAGAAAAAAATATAGTCTCCTTACTTTACTGAGAACATGAGCAATGGTCTCTATCACTTGTCCTTTCAAATCTTTGATGTCAGCACTGGCATCAAATGGGATGATGACATGCACTGGGTTTGGGGGGAGGACATATTCAAACAATATCTGAGGATTAAGAAAAAAATCTTTGATGTCAGCACTGGCATCAAATGGGATGATGACATGCACTGGGCTTGGGGGGAGGACATATTCAAACAATATCTGAGGATTAAGAAAAAAATCTTTGATGTTAGCACTGGCATCAAATGGGATGATGACATGCACTGGGTTTGGGGGGAGGACATATTCAAACAATATCTGAGGATTAAGAAAAAAATCTTTGATGTTAGCACTGGCATCAAATGGGATGATGACATGCACTGGGCTTGGGGGGAGGACATATTCAAACAATATCTGGGGAGAAGAGAAAACTATATTTTACAAACTGCTTTAAGTTATATATAAAACCTAAAAAAATATATCAATCAATCGTCTTACAATTTTTCAGTCTTGATTAGACCTATGAATGTGCTAATTATAATAATTGCACTTGAATTGTCATCTGAAATTACTTATTAAATCTTTAAGAACAGCATACTGCTCTTAAAAATTGTGGAGTATCAGTGTGTAAAATTATTAAATTAACATAGTATTGTTAAATCATTGAATATGAGTAGTTGAAATATGAAAATCATACATGATTTCTTTCCATTTCCATCACATTCACATTCCAATCTGACAAATGTAAATTTTGTGTATGCTCCACTGGTTGTCTTTCCTTTTTACTTTTGTAAATCAGGTAATTTGATAGGCTCAGCTTGGTTGCCATGGGAACAACTACCAAATAGGACTCTTTCTGTGTTTGCGAATAAAATTCTAAACAGAAAAAAAAGGTCAAACAATTAAATTCAGTGGTGGATTCTGCGTGTTGGGGTAAGGTCATAACATTTTCATGGACACTTAAAATTGCTATGGTCCTATAGTATTTCTTTCAATACAACAATAATAAATGTAATAAAACCACAACTATAAATACTCAAAATGGTTATATACAATGTGTGTGTAGGTATGTATAAAAATTAAATGTAAAGCTCCAATACACATATTTATATATGGCTAATTAACCAACAAACAAGACAATACAAAATAAACAGCCTACTTTTGGGGTCCATAAGCAAGGGACAGCCCTTTGTATTTCCACCTTCTCTGATATGAGACACTGCTGTGGCCATTGCCTCTATGTGGCCAATATTTGCTGCATTGATCAGAGTGACCAAACCCCCATCAGTGACTTTACTGCAGCCATTGATGTTCACCTATCAATAAAAATCAGTCAGCTAATGAAATTTTACTCACAATTTGACAACATCTACCACATTACAACATTAGTAATGTACACCTATTTTAAGTCGTGGCCTAGCGGTAGAGAGCTAGACTGCTAACCCGAGAGTCTCGAGTTCAAATCTGGGTTCAAGTCAGTAGAATGTCACTGAGTTCACCCTGCTCTGATGGGTACCTAACTCACATTACGGAAAGTAAAAGTTGCTAGGAATAGTGCTGACCACACTATCCCTTCATTTGCCGAGGACACAGAAACAGATGAACTCTACTTAACTTGCCTCATGGATTATCAGGTCGAAAAGGGAACTGTACCTATGTTAGGTACTAAAAATAAAGGTTTAAAACGAGTTTAGAGTTTTGGTTAATATATTGTAAAAATAAGACAGACCATAACTATAGGTAAATCTATGTTCTGGTAACAAATTTAAAAATGAGACAATTAGACCATAATTATACAAAATTCTGAGGTTGGTGTGGTTGGGTCAAATAACTGCTGCCTTGTTGTTTCTTAGTTGGACATAGGCTATGAATTGACAAGTAAAACTTAACTGTGTTGGAAGAAATCCCTTCCAACACTAGAATTAAGAACGAAGAAGAAGAAAAGAAGATATGAATATCTGTGTTCTGGTAACAATTAAAATATGAGTCAATTAGATTAACCTGAATGCTGTGCTTGTTCTCCGACAATCCCTTGGCCAGCCAGTGTAGACCAACATCTGTGATAATGCTACAGCCTTCCAGGGAAACTTTTGTCACTTTGCTCAGTGCATTCTGAAAAATTTAAACTTTTCTTTAGAAAATGTGCAATAAATAAATCTTTCTAAATTGTAATGTGGCATAGATTTAAAAATAAATGAATATAATTTTTTAAATATTAATATAATATGGCATGAAAAGTTGCATGGGTATGAATTTATCAAGATAAAATGCAGGTTTGGATATCAGGGTTTCCTCTCAGACTACAAGATTAATTTTTTTTTTACTATTTTTTTAATAAATTCTAAGTTTAATATAGTTAACGTTAAAAATAAATATTTAAATTCTGCCAAAGATAGTCCAAAAATGGTTCCAAAAGTAAGTGGGTTGAAAATGGGCTAACATACAAAACTAAAATCACATGATATATTTTTTGCTAATTTTTTTAACAAATTAGTTGAGGGTCCATAAATGACAACACATTGTGTGGCCTATCCCCCCCTCCTCATCCTTTTAAATATGTGGACATTTATGGACCACCTCCGGGACTGCCTATCTGACAGAGACCTTCTATCACAACTCAATCCATTACAGAACAGAATCTACAAAACAAGTTTCTGATTTAACATTTTGGTTCAAATTGTTTCTGTTTCACATTTTGTTACCATAAACAAAAATATAAATAAAAAACTCCAACCTTTCCAAGTGTAACATTTTTCTATTCAGTAAACGTTACTCTTTCAAACCAGGAAATGAATGTGGTTGATGAATTATGAATTCAACTGTTTCTGGGACATCAGCATATGAAAGGATAGTGTGGTCAGCACTATGCCCAGCCATCTTTACTTTCTCTAACGTGATTCAGGTACCCATCAGGTTCTCGAGCCTGGGATCTGTACTTGAGATTTGAGCACTGTACAGTTCTATTATGGCATTCTCTATCATTTTTACTTTCTCGTATATACGAAGTATAGAGAAAGTCTTGTAATCGTGCAAAAAAAAAAAAATCAAGATTTTTGCAAATCTTGACGTTTTACACCTCACTGATACGGAACAACATAATTTTGCAATCTTGTCCGTATGTCTGTGTGTCTGTCTGTCTGTGTGTGTGTCTGTGTGTAAACACGATAACTTGAGTACTATTACAGCTAGGTTGATGAAATTTCATATATAAGTATTTTATCAAAATCGTAGATCCGTATCAACTTTTTAGCGATTTTCGACAACCGGAAGTGGTACTTTTTCCACTTTGAATTTTTCAAAAGCCTATAACTTGAGTACTATTTCAGATAGATAAATGAAATTTCACATGTAAGTAATAGATCTAATTCTCTACCTTCTTTCAAATTTTGAGTAATTTTCGTTGACCGGAAGTACTAATTTACGCTATTTCCGATTTCTCAAAAAACGCAAGTAAATTTATAAAGTACTAATAATATTGCGCACTATTATGCACATTTTGTTTCGGCGTTTGTTTGGTGCACAATGTTTTTTTCTATGAGATTCTATTCTATTTTTAAAAGTTTAAGTAATTAAAAATCATGTCTACATTCCAAGTTATATAAGAATATTCGAGAAAGTTTAGGGGAGATCACTCCCGGTTTATTGTACTTGAGATTTGAGCACTGTACAGTTCTATTTTGGCATTCTCTATCATTTTTGTACCTGAGATTTGAGCACTGTACAGTTCTATTATGGCATCCTATATCATTTTTGTACTTGAGATTTGAGCACTGTACAGTTCTATTATGGCATCCTCTATCATTTTTGTACTTGAGATTTGAGCACTGTACAGTTCTAGTAAAGCATCCTCTATCATTTTTCTATATATGAACATGATCAAAAACAGTATTTAGGAGTTAAAAATGAAACTCAAACCTTTCCCAGAGTATCAAAGAGAGATTTGATGACAGCATCAGTGACGTATCCGTCCTTACCAAAGTCAATGGTTTTAAAATGGACATTACTTTCTTGAGCTTTCTTCAGTAAAGACTGATTGAAGATAAGAATAGTCTTTAGAAAACATCAGCATAAAGTGTATTGTTTCATACAGCAATAAAAGCCTAAGTGACAAGCTGGTTGAATTATGAAAATAAAAATTGAATTCTTTATATAACTAATTTTACAGAGAAAAATTATAAAATATAATTATCTTGGATTTTTTAAACTAAAATATGACAGAAAAGTTAACTAAGAAAATTTATGATTGATGGATTTAACATCTTAGACACGCAATAGAGTGAAACAAAAGTTTTCAAGGAATGCAAAGGTTTACTATTTATTATTTGTGCAAGAAGAAGAATATAAATATTGAAAACATTACCTGAAGTTTCTTTTGAAATCTGTCTAAAGGTATGTAACCAAGGGCAAAAACTTCATCCAAATCTGATACAACAACAGAAGGATCTACTTCCTTAACAACAGCTTTAGTCTCAGTCTTAAGAGGGGTGATGTACACTTTCCGAAGAGTTCCTTCGTCAACGGCTACAAAAATGAAACAATTAACAGTCTTAATAAAAAAAATTGACAGTGCCTATTAGAAAAATGTCCATATATAAAGTGGTTTAAAACAAAAATTTATTGTTATGGGAAATTGTGTTTTTGTAAGGAAAGTAGTAATGTTTTCACTTACGTTCTTTGTTTTTCTCAGTTTCATCTTCCTCTGTAGGGGATTCAATGGCAGCTGTAGGATTTGAGCACACATTTTAGGTAGACCAATTTATTTAATACAAAGTATATAAAATATTAAAATTAACAAGCATATGTTTTAGTTTTAACTAATCAGCTTGCTTGATTGTTTATTTCTGGAGATACTAATGTGGAAATCTAACTACAGTAGTAAATAGCATGTATTGGCCTTTCAGCAGCAGTTTGAGACTTAAAAAATGCTTCATTTCTATCAGAAATTCTCTTCATCACTTTTACATTTGTCACAAGAGGCATGGCTTATTGAAATTTAACTTACCAGGAGCACTGTGGAATACTAATGTGGAGATACTAATGTGGAAATCTAACTACAGTAGTAAATAGCATGTATTGGCCTTTCAGCAGCAGTTTGAGACTTAAAAAATGCTTCATTTCTATCAGAAATTCTCTTCATCACTTTTACATTTGTCACAAGAGGCATGGCTTATTGAAATTTAACTTACCAGGAGCACTGTGGAATAGATCAGCATTTTTTCCACCTCTGAAAGCAGGCTGAGGAGGAAAAAATATATTTGAAAGAAGTTCTTCATTTTAAATTCATTTCAGTTATAAAAAAAGTTATTTTAACAACTATTTTATAAGTTAACCTGAATAATCTGTTATTGAAAGTACGTGTCTGTGATTCCAATTTTACTACACTACTCATCCGACTGACATAAAACTTTGGGAAGCTGTTGAGTACAATACAGAGGAGTTTTCTGGCATAGAAATTATTTCAGTGTTGGAGGTAGTGTGCGACCAAAGGGCAGCAACCCAAGATAACACTGGCACCTGGATGGTTGCTGAGATGTGCTCTACCTCACTCTGGTGGAAGGTAATCAATATGCAACACACTCTGGGGCTCTTGAGTGAGAACAAACCCACACCCCAACAACTATTATCCAATAGAGGTAGTGGAAAAATTGTGTACAACTAAAGAACTTTAGTTCTTATCAACATAAAATGATAAACTTGGTATCTGGGAATGGCTGATAGCGCAAAGTGGTATACAATGCTGATACTTTAATGGCACATCACATTATTTTGTAATTGAACATGAATATCAAATTAAACTCCTTGAGTCTTAGATTGCAGCAACACACCATGGATCAGCTAGCAAATTATAAGCATGGCCTACCATTAGCTCAAAATTATACTTTCATATCTAGCTACATGTCATTAAAAATTACTTTATAATTAATCTTTTAAGCCCTACTTTTACAATTTTCTCTGTTATTAAATTTGAGATATGAAAGCTTATGCCTCTTAGCTTTCTATAAATAACAACGTCTTGGAATAATTCTCACGTCTGTACTTGTTGCCACTATGTCACAAATATCACCCCCCCTCCTTATAATGCCATTTTATTATAATCTTTTTGCGGAAAACAAAGCACGAGAAAATGTGTGCCACACCAATATCCAATCATTTGGCTAGATTTATTAGACATGTCGCATCATATCTAATGATAGAATGCATTGCTCTTTCCTCATTGATGATGTTTTTATCATCTTTTAAAGTAAAAATATGAAATATTAGTTAAGATTGCAGTTTTTGTAACATGGTATACTTACCCTCTTTCAATTTAAAAAGCATGGCATGTTAATTATGTAGAAATATTATCACAAAACACAAAAATATAAAATTCGATTTTCTTAAAATTACCATTATGATCTGCCAACCCTAGGCCTATACTCACTATACAATACTATACATTAATTTTTTTTAAATTGTTTATTGATTGTGTTAACTTCTACTACTTTTAGCTATCTACATTAATTTCCAAGATATTTTTATATGCTTCTACTTCTACAAAGTTTTATTGAAACATCTTTAAAAATAATCCAGAAATCCTCTCATGAAATCAGGTCACAGGTCTAGATTTTAGATCTAGATCTAGTAGTTTTTTCATCAGCTCATAATAGGCTGAACCTGGCTGGAATTTTTTTAGCGCAATTTCCATTCTGGAGAATTGCGTTTATTAAACTGTCATTTCTGGATGAATGGATGGATGGATGTGTGTTCGCAGCTTTAAGTCGTATCTCCTCCTCAACGAAGCAGTATCGAGGACTAGTTCCAAAAGCATTTATGTTAAGCAAGTTACGAGGATGATAGTGGGCCAAAAAAATTCCGGAATTCCTTCCTGGATTTCCCAGAAAAGCCAAAAAACCTTAAAAAAATGCAGTTTTTGGCCCATATCTCGGCAACCAGACAGCTTAGCAACTTGAAACATTTACCAGTCGATTCCTGCTATAATTTAGAACAATATTGCCGAAGAAAGTTTTCAAAAATATCCTTTCGTTCGGTCACAAAAATTTTTTTAAACTTACATTATACATAATACACTCAGTACTATATAGCAATATAGTTATATGACTAAAAACCATTGCGCGCCTACTGAACGTGATGGCGCAGCCATGGAACGTGATGACGCATCTATTGAACGTGATGATGATTTAAAATTGTTATGGATAACATAAGGAAATTGCGCTTAAATTGTCACTATAAGACTTTTTAATTAACTTGTTTCAGTTATAATGACTTGGCACAGAAAGTTAATAGACTCTAGATCTAGATCTAGATGCTAAATTGACTTAGTTTACTAGTGTGCTAGCTATTAGATCTAGATCTATAGATCAAGATACTTTTTTCTAAAAAAAAAAATTTGAAATGTTTATCAAAATGCCTAGATCTAGATCTATAAAATTATAAATTCAATGTTCCTATCTAGATCTAGTAATAGTAGAATAGTACTAATCTAGATAAGATTCTAGATCTAGATCTAGTAGTAAGTAGACATGAATTAGAAATTAAAAAGATTAGGGCTTAGGCTAGCGCTAGTTTAGTTAGTGCGGTCCGTTAGTGCAGCTAGGTTAAATTAATACTATTTAATTAATATTAATATTATGCATAGGCCTAAATAATAGGCTGATAAATAAAATATTAATATTAATTTAAATTTTTTCAAGAAATCTATACCATGATAGTTTTAGATCTAGAATATAAACTATAGATATAGTCTCTGTCTATAGTCTATATTCACAGTTCTCCGATAAATTGGTCAATGTGCTTGCTGTGCCGACATTTTAGACGCTCGCAGAGCCATAGAAACAACTAGCCAATGAAAATTATAGAAAATGATTAAGACTCGAAAAATAGCATATTAGCATAGGCCTAGGTAGGCCTAGAAAAAAATTCCTCTTCATAGTCTCAGTAATCATTCTATGCCTATAAATACCTATTTATATCTTAGCTGTTATCGAGCCTATTAACATCCAAATGAAATAGTTCTAGTCATGTAGAATATATATTTTTGTAGCTATCGAATTTTTGAACTCTAGATCTACATCTAGATCTAGGACCTAGAAAAGTCTACACAAAATGAAAGTGGTTAATAATTATTTCGGCTTACAGTTCAATTAGTTAAAACCAGTTTAATAGTATAGGCTTCATGCTTTAATTAAATTCATGGCAAATATGATGATGATAATAGGTAATAATAATAATAAAACTATCATCAGCTAAGAATAGGTAGGACTTCATTCATAAGTTTGCTTAACACTTAATCGCTCAAAAAATACCGGGATCATTCATAATGATAATTTACGTTACAGTGCAGAAAGGAGAGGTGTAAATGAATGTCCCGGTCATGAAGGCCCTTAGAAATTCAAAATTTCAAAAATAAAATAAAAACTATTGTAATAAAAAACTTATCTATAAATAGCAATATGTCCCTCTCAAGGTTTCAATTGTTCTCCTGGTGGGGGGGGGGGGGGGGGGGGTGTCAGGTATCTCTTTAGCGGGAAGAGGCGGTAGTGCACCCACCACCCTCGAAGCTTACCAACCCCAAACAAAATATAAATGTTTTATTCGGTGTCCACCATTCCTGACCCCCGAAAACTTTCTAGCTATGTCATTGTTGGCGGCATACAAGATCTATAGGCTGTCTACGTTTGTGCGTCGAAAATTCTAGAACATCAACGGCTTAATTAAATTTTTAAATTTTATTTGCTGGTTTTGGCTTACAAAATATTTTCTGCAAACACCAACACCAACACCTACACCCCCCACACACATAAACCCACAGATAAACCCACAACTATATCCGCACCCACACCCACAACCACAGCTAAAACGATACAAAAACCCACACCTCAATCCGCACCCACACCCACATCCACACCTACACATAAAATCAAACTACACCTACACCTACACCTACACCTACACCTACACCTACACCTACACCTACACCTACACCTACACCTACACCTACACCTACACCTACACCTACACCTACACCGACAACGACACCGACACCGACACCTACACCTACACCTACACCTACACCTACACCTACACCTACACCTACACCGACACCTACACCTACACATACACCTACACATACACATACACCTACACCTACACCTACACCGACACCTACACCTACACCTACACCTACACCGACACCGACGCCGACACCGACACCTAAGCCTAAACCTACATCTACACCTACACCTACACCAACCCTACAAGGACACCTATGCCCACGCCCATGCCAACCCCACAACAACACCCACACCCACACCTACACCGACGCCGACACCGACACCGACACCTAAGCCTACACCTACACCTTCACCTACACGCACAACCACACCCACACCTAAACCCAAACCCACACTTACAACTACACGCAGACGCACACACACACATGTACGCCTACACGCAGAGCAAAACAGGCCCAGGTGAGGAGTGGGAGCATGACATGACCCTTCTGTTAATTATTCTCACCCACCTCCCTTTTCTCCAACTCCCTTTCAATACTTACGCTGTTAGCAGTTTTTCCCTTTACAAATCTAGTTTAAAATGTATTCTCAAGAGTGAGGTAATAAGCATTAGCGGTTATTCACAGGAGGTGGTGAATGGGTGGGAGGTAGGGGGTTGGTTTACCTGAGGATTATAGAGGAGGATAACACAGGGGTGGGGGGCTAGTTGAATTGGGGATAGCGTGCTCGATAATTTATTGAATCCACAGAACAAAAGACACGCAGGCGTGCCTTGAGAGATCTATAGACTTGACTTGGAGAGTGACACAAGAGAGATGGTTTATCTATGAGAACTGGGTTGTTGTTTTTTTTAACTATGTGAACAGTTAGAGACAATTTAGTTGCATGGACTCAAGTGTCTGCACGCTATGGCTATGTGGGATAGCAGCCCATACATCCTAGTTTGACTACTGGCCTATTGTCCTGGTAACGAAAGCCCATGTCCTAGTAGGACGCCAGGCCTATTGTCATGGTAACGAAGGCCCACGTCCTAGTAGACCGACAGACCCATGTAATAGTAGGACGCCAGGCCTATCATCGGCCTATGTCCTACTAACGGCAGGTCTATGTCTTAGAGCGTTATTCGTCTTAATCGGACGGGAAGCACCAGTGGCGGAACTAGAAAAAAAGGGCCACCCCGCAAATTTTTTTTTGGGCCCCCCATATATAGGCCTATATATATATATATATATATATATATATATATATATATATATATATATATATATATATATATATATATATATATAATATATATATATATATATATATATATATATATATATATATATATATATATATATATATATATATATATATATATATATATATATATATATATATATATATATATATATATATATATATACAAACACAAATACGAACATATGCTACTCATTGCTGGCCTCTTCGGGTTTTGATTATTAAAAAAAATTCTAACAACACTATGTCATGTGAGTAAGTGCTTCAGTGTGTTTTGTGAAAATCAGCTTTACTTTATCTGTGCTAGGCTACGAGACCTCTTCCCCTCTAGTCGACCAAAAGAATATAAAACATGAAAGCTTTGTAGAAGAAATGGTGTCTCGCGTTATGATTATTTTTATGTTTTTTGGTATTTATTTTATTAATTTTAAATACATTTTCTTTTTATACAATGTCATTCTTTAGTAAGTATTTTATAAAAAAAATAATAATTAAGAGAAGTAATTGCTTTTTAATTTGTTTAGTACAAATCTATTAAAAGGAGCTTATGAGCACCCCTATTTGACTATTTGAAAAAAGGGAAATAAGTCATGGAAGTGGTTTGAACGTTTGCTTATCTTTGCTAAGTTAAATTGTAAGAGAAAGAGGACTCGGCTTTCACAGTGGTTTAAAAACCAAGGGAAAAAGAATATACAAGCGCGTGGTGGTGATGTCTATAGAATAAAGATAATCCAACCGCAGCTACGGTAATCATTTTACAAAACAACCATCAAGTCAAAAATGTAAGAAAGTTAATTTTTTTTAACTTTAAAATTTTTTTTATGGTCGGCTGTGGGCCCCTAAATGGCGTGGGCTCCCCCGCATTGCGGGGTCTGGCGGCACTGTAGTTCCGCCCCTGGGAAGCACACGTTGTAATAGGACGACAGCTCTATGTCCTATTGAGAATTTATATGTACTAGTGGGGGTTATCTATATATATATATATATATATATATATATATATATATATATATATATATATATATAATATATATATATATATATATATATATATATATAATTATATATATCTATATATCTTTATATGATTACATATATCTGTTATATATATATCTATATATCTATATAGAATTATATAATTTTATATATATATATATATGATATTTGCACTGTGCCTATGTCCTATTGGAGGGGGGTGGACAGCTTATTGTCTTATTGATAATTTCTAAAGGGGGCAGCTCTATGTCCTATTGTGAATTTATATGTACTAATGGGGAAGGAGGCCTATGTCCTATTGAGAATTTAGATAAGTCAAAAAGGGACAATGTCTATGCCCTAGAGTGGCACCCTATGGGGCTATGCATATGTCCTAAATGTGGCAGCTCTATGTCCTGCGTCTATGTCCTACTGGGACGACAGCTATATGTCCTGTTGAGAATTTAGATATATGCCATAATGGCACTGTGCCTATGTCCTATTAAGGAGGGGCAGCTGTTTGTCCTATTCAGAATTTTTATGTCCTAGTGGGGGATGTAATGTCCTAATTCGAATTTAGGTTTATATATATTATTTTGGCACTGTGCCTATATCCTGTTGGGCGGCAGCTTTTTGTCTTATTTTGAATTTAGGTATAAGTACTAGTGGGACTATACTTATGTCCTACTGGGTGCAGCTGTTTGTCTTATTGACAGTTTTGGTATATGTCCTAGCGGGACATTGCATATGTCCTAAGGGGGCATCTCTCTGTCCTTTTGTGATTTTGGGTATATGTCCTATTTAGACGTTCCTATGTTATTGAGTAGACAGCTCTATGTCCTTTTGAGATTTTAGGTATATGTCCTATTTAGACCGCGCCTCTGTTATAGAGTAGGCAGCTCTATGTCCTTTTGAGAAATAAACAGTTTCTGAATAATTTAAGCTATATTTTTCTGTGGTTTAAAGTCTTTTGCCTACTTAGAGGACGAAAACAGTTTAAAAAAAAAATGTTTTTATGCCATGAGAACTTTCATTTTGACCTCTCACACAGATAGTCACGAGCTATTAAACAACACTTGGCATGACAAGAACTGAATCGGACATTACAGCGTGGGACATACGGAGCGTCGTGAGACGTCGAGTTTTAACTTCACATTGTAAATTTCGCAAGCCAGTCCAAATTGACAAAAGCACCAGCATTGTAAATTTAGAGCGCCTGTCACAAACAGATCACTGACGGGGTCGCCAGATCTATAAATAAAATTACCACCAAAATTATGTTTATGTTTAGGCGATCACATGATCGTTTCTTTTGGCCAATCAAATTTAAGCACACGCTGTGAGTTTCCTTATTTATGTACGCTAGTTTAGAGTTTTCTTATCAGATTCGAGCGAACTCTACAAGGATTAACATGAGTAAATAAGGATTGTTTCCAAAACACCGTGTTTTAAATTATAGTTACAGCTACAGGCAGTGACTTCTGATAGATCGACATAACATGACAAACTTGTAGACTGACAAGGAACAACCGAAATAATTGATACTTTAAAGAAGAACTTTAACAGACAAATTTTACAGACAAATTTACTGACAAATTTTACAAGCAGATTTACTGACAAATTTTACAAACAAATTTTACAAACAAATTTTACAGACAAATTTACTGACAAATTTTACAGACAAATTTACTGACAAATTTTACAGACAAATTTACTGACACATTTTACAGACAAATTTTACAGACAAATTTACTGACACATTTTACTGACAAATTTACTGACAAATTATACAGACGTAACAATAGCAACGAAGCAAGGTCACTAAAGTTGACTGTGTTTGCAGACGTACAAGCCGTGATGATGTCTGTTTGCCGTTTCGCCTTACTGCTCACCCTTCTGTCAACTGTGCAAGCAGCAGATAATAAATGGAAGAACTCCACGGCCCCGGGTAAGTAAATTATATACTTTAAATAAACCTTCTATACATTAATAGTTGTGGTGTGGGTGGCATGTGATCTGTCTCTTGTCAACTTAGGTCCCAGGCAATGTGTTTGGATTGCCAATGCGCAATCACCAATGCTCAATTAGACTATTTAGTCATATTATAATGTAGCCTAGGTACCTGTGATCAAACGACTTCGCCGTCGAATCACCCAAGTACAGGAGTAGGGAATTTAGGCGGTCAACACTATTATATTTAAAAAAAAAATTCGATTGGTTATCTTTATTCTATAGTCACTAACCCACGCTATTTTATTCTACAGTCACTAACCTACGCTATTTATTCTACAGTCACTAACCTACGCTATTTATTCTACAGTCACTAACCTACGCTATTTATTCTACAGTCACTAACCTACGCTATTTATTCTACAGTCACTAACCCACGCTATTTTATTCTACAGTCACTACCCTACGCTATTTATTCTACAGTCACTAACCTACGCTGTTTATTCTACAGTCACTAATCCACGCTGTTTATTCCACAGTCACTAATCCACGCATTTATTCTACAGTCACTAACCCACGCTGTTTATTCTACAGTCACTAATCCACGCTGTTTATTCTACAGTCACTAATCCACGCTGTTTATTCTAGTCACTAACCCACGCTGTTTATTCTACAGTCACTAACCCACGCTGTTTATTCTAGTCACTAACCCACGCTGTTTATTCTACAGTCACTAACCCACGCTAGTTATTTCACAGTCACTGACCCGCGCTGTTTATTCTACAGTCACTAACCCACGCTAGTTATTTCACAATCACTAACCCACGCTGTTTATTCTACAGTCACAAAAATAATTCATTATAGATATACTGACGTTTCAATTTTAAAATATGTTTTTATCAATAGTAAGCAGAACTACGTACCTGTACTATTCTAAATGATATTGAAATAGCGAATTCATTTTTTTACTATACAATTTATTTTCAAGTCCCCAGTTGGTCTTTATTCACCTAGCACTGATAGCCAGTCTTACAACTACGAGTTACAATTAAATTCCTACTAACTAGTTATTAATATTCTATTAATTGAATAACAAATTGTTCCAGGGAATATCAAATTCAGGCTGTTCTCGGAACGTTGGGCAGACTTTGAGCAAAGATGGTTGTATAATTTCACAGACCCCATCTTTAGCAGAGTCCTTGAACCACTGGCCAACTCCAGTCCTTTCCTGAACGGTACAAATTTATTCATATATTGTGTTCATGAAATATTTACCCACACAAAGTCTAATGCAATCATTTCCTTCCTAAACCGTACAATTTTGTTCATATATTGTGTTCATGAAATGTGTAACGTAAATCACTCTCAACCATCAATCACATGTAGGCCTATGTGAAAATGTATTCAAATGTTTGATTACATGCACTGAAATACTCATTCTTTTTCTCTTTTTATTTATCTTCACTCTCTCTCTCACTCTCTCTTCTCTCTCTCCCTCTATTATATATATATATATATATATATATATATATATATATATATATATATATATATATATATATATATATATATATATATATATAAGCCTAATTATGTTTATATGTATTGACAGGCACTGCCACTGGATGGCTGATTGACGCGGCTGAACAAATGTTGTTGAATAAAGACCCCAAAGTGAGCACCATGCTGACGCAGTTCGCTGACAAGGCTGTGATTCAGCTTACAACGGCCCTGAAAGAAGCCTTACTTGAGGGTATTCGTGGACTGAATGAGGGGATCAGAACGATGGTGACAGGGACGGTCAACGACGTGAAAGATGCCGCTGTCAAGCATCTTGAATCGAGCGTCAAGGAGCTAACGAAGAAGCTGATGCCACAGCTACCAACTATTCCAAAGCCATCAATTCCTGTGCCAATCCCACAAATTCCACTTCCAAATACTTTTCCAAAACCTTGGAAGTTTTGAATAGGTAAGCTTCGATTTAAGTTTTATAATATAAACACAAGTCACTTAACAGGTCTACAAATGACGTGTTCAGTCAAATGTATCACAAATAAGTATGTGATTCACACATAAAGGAAAAACGACGAATTAAAGATTGTAAAAAATTAGGAAATATAATTTAAATTTGTAAATTACCTATGTTACAACGATGCGAAAATTATGATTTGGTGAGTGTTGTTCAATCCTCTAGCCTATGCCATTTATTTTCAGATGTCATGAAAAAAAAAGATCTGCCTGCCTTTACTGAAGCTGTGACGATTTCAGAAATTCAGATGTGACAAAATTAAAGAAAGCGATCTTTTTTTTTTAAATAATAAATAATCAGAACTCATTTTGATTCTTTTTTATTCTCTTGTCATGTTTGCAAGTTTGTCAGTGAAATGTCAAATTTAGGTATTTAGTTTGTGATGTTTGGATTGGAAGTTTGTCAGCAAAATATGTAGATCTACTGTATGTTAAGAAAAGTCAATTTAAAAAAAATTATTGTGAGCGAGTCTAGACTAGGTCTATTTATAGTCATTATTTTAACAAACCTAGTAATTCTTAAATCCGATCAGATCGCAGATTGCAAATACAGTTCATTGTTTTATTTCGCAACTTATTGATACATTATATCATTCCAAATAAATTTCGACCATCAAATTTGAAGCTCATTAGGGCGGATGAAGTAGAGTTCATCTGTTTATTTGATTACGGCATGCTGAAAAGTTAGTAAATGTTATGCTCAGCCGTATTTACTTTCCCTAACTTGAGCCAGGTACCAAATATAGATGAGTTTGCTCCGGGATGCCCTACGTATTCAGTTGAAGAACTTCAAATTTTTGGGAAATGAATCACCCGCTTTGCTGTTCTAATACCTCATCCCATCGTTACATTGTGACAAAAGATTTAAAATAGCTGCAGCTTGTCGAAATTCAAATCCATCGCTTATATTTAAGATTCAACCTCATGTTTAGGCAATATGTTAAAGTTTGTCCCATAGGTCAAGCACCAGTTCACTACCTTTCACATTAAGAAAATATTTTTATTAGTAGAAATTTAAATGAAGACTTTATCCATAATAAGGATTGGTCATTGAAACAATTAAAAATAGTTGAAATAAATTTTGTGGAAAAGGAATGGAAAATGTTTGTACTGTTAAATAATAATATTAAGTAAAATACTAATAACTAAAAACTGATAATTAAATACCAAATAAGAATTAAAATACCAGTGATCAATTATTAATCAAATATGGTCGTCTAAAATAAAGTTTTGCAGATAAAATAACTGAGACAACAAATAAAAAACGTTTAGCATTAAAAACATGTTTGTAAACATTTGTGACTTGGTACTATTAACAATTAGCCTTCTAGAGTTCTTGATCATGCTAAATATAATTTAGATTTAATTTGCTGGAATCCACACGAACGTACTAACATAGTTCATAAGAATCTTTGTTGAAAACTCAACTGCAATATTTTAGAAAATAAGAAAGTAAAAAAAAAGCAAAAACAAAACGTAACACAACATTCACATACAAATGGGCTAGTATATATTGTGCAACCTGCAGTTTACCGCATACTATGACATATTATAAAAGTATTGAAATACTAGACAATAACATACAAGTAAGATATTATAGTAAATTTAGTTAGAGCATAAAAAACCAACCGAAAACATAAATACTAAACAATAATACTTAGGCTAAATCGTCACTCTGTAACAAACAAATGACTAAAAAATTTTATGTAGAACTACAAACTACATACTATTGATAAAGATGACACTGTTTAAATGTGTATGTTGCTATCACTTGTCTTGAAAATATATGAAAATACAATTATATGAACATGAAAACTGCAGATAAAAAAATAAAGACAAGGCTAAGATTAAATTTGAACTTTAAAATTTATTACCATTTTTTATGAAAGCTTTCTGTTATTTTGCCATAATATAACTTTTGAAATCTGTAAGAAATAAACCGGGAGTGACCTCCCCTAAACTTTCTCGAATATTCTTATATAAAACAACAGGGGATGGGAACTCGGGATATAGTTATGATTTTTAATCCTTTTTAAATACTTAAACTTTTTAAAATAGAATAAAATCTCATAGAAAAAAGAACTGCGCACCAAGCGAATAAAGATGTGTATAATAGTGCGAAATATTATTAGTACTTTATAAATGCACATGCGTTTTCTGAGAAATCTGAAATAGTGAAAATTACTACTTCCAGTCAACGGAAATTACTCAAAATTTGCCAGAAGGCAGAAAATTAGATCTTTTACTTACATTGAAATTTCATTTATCTATCTAAAATAGTACTCAAGTTATATGCTTTTGAAAAATTCAAAGTAGAAAAAGTTTCACTTCCAGTTATCTACGATTTTGATATAATACTTATATATGAGATTTCATCAACCTAGCTGTAACGGTACTCAAGTTATCGTGTTTACACACACACACACACACATACACACACATACATACGGACAAGATTGCAAAACTATGATTTTCCGACTCAGGGAGCCCTAAAACGTGGAGATTTGCAAAAATCTCGATTTTTTTTTGCACGATTACAATACTTTCTCTATACTTCGTATATACGAGAAAGTAAAAATGTTTCAATAAACGCCAATGCGACAACTTGCATTACGCTGGCATATAGTAAGGGAAATAATCGGATAAATTCCTGTTAAAACGTGTAGGTAGGAGTTAATTCCAAAATCTCTGTCCGACATTCCGTCCGTCCGTGGGTCCGTCCGTCCGTCTATCCGTCTGTCCGTCTGTCAGTCTGACCGTCTGACCGTCTGTCCGTGTGTCCGTCTGTCTATCTGTCTGTCCGTCTGTGCGTCTGTCTGTCTGTCTGTCTCTCTGTCTCTCTGTCTCTCTATCTCTCTATCTTCTCTCTGTCTCTCTGTCTCTCAGTCTCTCTTTTATAAAATAACACTAGGTAAGTCTTTGCCATTTGGCTTATTTTTAATCTAATAAAATGGTTAAAAGGAACAAAGAACGCCAATTAACATAAGAAACGAATAAATTAAACATTATAAATACATTAAAATGTATTAGAATATACAACAAGTTCAACAACTGAGAACATACTTGATTGATAACCTATTTCCAGGTTACTAGAAACGAAAAATCACCATCCACATTTTAAAATTATAATAGCTTGTTTATTTACTCTAGTTAGAAAAATATGAATTTGTTTTATACTAAAAATTAGAAATTTGTCTAACGTGTTCTATTAAAAAATTCACGCTGTCCTCTGAACCCAATAACAATAAACAAAATAAAGCTATTATTAACAATAACCTAAGCAAAGTAAAGGATTACAATGCAATTCCGTATGGTACGTGGTTTTACTTTGAAGGAATTTACATTTATCGATTAAGTTTCAACAATCGAATATGTATTATGTTTTAATTGAATTTTTAACAAAAATAAACCGGGAGTGATCTCCCCTAAACTTTCTCGAATATTCTTATATAAAATAACAGGGGATGGGAACTCGGGCTAAAGACATGATTTTTAATCCATTTTAAATACTTAAAGTTTTAAAAATAGCATAAAATATCGTAGACAAATTAATTGCACACCAAGTGAACGCCAAATAAAAAAGCGCATAATAGTGCGCAATATTATTAGTACTATTAAAATTTACATTAGTTTTTTTGAAAAATCGGAAGGAGCGTAAATTACTACTTCCAGTCAACGCAAATTACCCAAAATTTAACAGAAGGTAGAGAATTAGATCTTTTACTTACATGTGAAATTTCATTTATCTATCTGAAATAGTACTCAAGTTATAGGCTTTTGAAAAATTCAAAGTAGGAAAAATACCACTTCCGGTTATCGGAAATCGCTCAAAAAGTTGATACGGATCTACGATTTTGATAAAATAATAATATATGAAATTTCATCAACCTAGCTGTAACGGTACTCAAGTTATCGTGTTTACACACGGACAGACAGACAGACAGACAGACAGACAGACACACAGACAGACAAACAGACATACGGACAAGATTTCAAAATTATGTTTTTCCGTATCAGTGAGGTGTAAAACGTCGAGATTTGTAAAAATCTCGATTTTTTTTTTTGCACGATTACAAGACTTTCTCTATACTTCGTATATACGAGAAAGTAAAAAAGGAACATTTCCTTAAATGCATAGTTTTTATTACTAATAAAAACTTTTCAAATGTAAAATTAGTTGTACATGCTTTGCATTTGAAATATGGATATATTTATATACCAAACTACTTTCGTATATAAATAATAAATATAGATAAAAAATATTTTTTTATATACATATAGTTTTTCATGTTTTTTTTATATAGAAACACACACAAACACACACTCAAACACACACACACAAACACATATATATATATATATCTATATACATGTATATATATATATATATAAATATATATATATATAAGTAAATAAATAAATATATATATATATATATATATATATATATATATATATATATATATATATATATATATATATATATATATATATATATATGGTGACGGGACAAATGATTTCAGAACAAATGATCTCAGAAAAAAAAATTCAGGACAAATTATCTCAAGTACAAATGATCTCACAGACAAATGATACCAGGAAAAATTGAAAGTAGAATAAGTTCCCTAGTTAAAATATATCAATATATATATATATATATATATATATATATATATATATATATATATATATATATATATATATATATATATATATATATATATATATATATATATATATATATATATATATATTGACTGCAAGAAGTACATCACTAGTTCAGAGTTACATTTTCAAAATTTCTAAATTTGAATTATCGCTTATTTACGTTTATCGACACAAAATTCAAATTTCTCACTGTTCACAAGAATCATATTAATTTTTTTTTTACTATCCGAACTTTCTTGCTTTGTTTGAAGTAGATTGCTAAAACTTTA